TGACCCAATCCAATGGCCTTTGCATTATCTTGTCCAAAATTCACCATCTTTCTTTTGAGTCAGTTAGAAGTCAGAAGATTATAACTGAGCAGAAAAGGGAACTAAAGTGAAATCTATCACTAAGGATGTTTGGTTAATATCAGGGTTGGTTGCTCAGATTAATTAATATCCAGTAGTAGTGGTGGGTGGGAAATGGAGAATTATCTTTTTATCTATCTATGTATCTATCTATCACCTATCTATCTACCTATCTATCTACATATGTGTGTATGTATAAGACAAATATTCAATCTCCTTTGCTCTAGGCAGGGAATTTCATTTTTAAAGAGATTTCTGGAGTTTTGCTTTTATTTTGGAGAGGGGTAAGGGTTAAAGGTGTTGAATGAATGGGTCCTTCAACAACTCCCTCATCTACACAACTATTCCACTTCAGACTCTCATCTAGACTATTTCAAAAACCTGCTATATATAGACTTCCCGCAAACAGCCTCTCCTCTCGCTAATTCAGCCTCCACATGGCTGCCAGACTGATTATTGAAGCACAAATCTCACTACATCAGTCCTTCACTCAAGAAACTTCAGTGACTTCCTGTTGCTGCTAGAAATAAAGAAACCTCTCTGCCATTTAAAATCCTTCACGCTATAACTCCAACCTATGTTTCTAGACTAATTTTATTTCATCTCCCCTCATACACTTAGTTTTCCAACCACATTGACCTATTTGTGTTCTCTCCCACCTCCATTCCTTGGCACGGGCTATTCTGATGCCTGAAATGTGCTTTGTCTTCCTGGCCTTGTCTTGCAATCCCTGCCCCTTCAAGGCTCAGCTCCAGTTCTGCCTCCTGTCAATGTTCAGTCCGTTCAGCCATGTCCAACTCTTCATGACCTCATTTGGGGGTTTCTTGGCAAAGATGCTGGTTTACTATTTCCTTCTCCAGCTCATTTTACTGATGAGGAAACTGAGGCGAACAGAGTTAAGTGACTTGGCCATGGTGTTTGAGGCCAGATTTGAACTCATGAAGATGGGTCTTCCTGATTCTAAGCCCAATGCTCTGTCCACTGCACCACCAAGCTGCCCCCCAGAGACCTTTTCTGATTTCCCTAGTTGTTCCTGCTCCCATTTTTCTCCATCAAAGTACTTCGTATTGATTTTATATGTGTTTATCTGTATATATGTTGTTTCTTCCCTTCTCCCTTGAGGACAAGGACTTTAATTTTTGTTTTTGAATCTACAGTACTTAGCTCAGTGATTGGTAGGGAGTAAGTACTTGATAAATACTTTTTGAATTGAATTGAATTGAAGTTAGTAAAAGAAAAAAAAAGGATTTAACCCGTACCATTTACACATAAATTACCAAGCCAGATAAATTTCAAACTTAATTTCTTCAGTTACAATGCAGAACAGGACTTTGCTCACAAATAAAAATGTTCTCATTTATCTCTTTTATTGTCCAGGTTGTTATTTAGGCTAATAGATGAATAAAGATGCAGAATTAGATAGAAGATGAGAGTTGCATTGCAGAGAACCATCAAACACTTTTCGGCAGAGGCATTTTCCCATAGATGGAGCAAATAAGTAACCTTGATTTTTTTCTGGAGACCATTGCTTATGTTCCAAATGTAGTTGAATATATTAATATTTATGCACTTAACAACTGGGTTTTTCTTTTTCTTTTAATTCTCTAGCTGCCTAGTCTCTTAGGAAAACTCTGAAAGAGTAGAGATGATTAAATTTTTTTTGTTGCTAATTTCAGCATAGAAGCGGTGGAAACTATTTTTCCGGAATACACATCTAAGCAGATACTGCTTTCTCTCTTATGTCTATATATGAATTTCCAAGGTCTTTCAAGCGTCAATGGTGTTTATATTTTCAAGGACTTTACTGACATTTATTGTAGACAACAGATCCCTCTGACCATAAAAAGTAATTGTGTGTGGGGCAGCTAGGTGGTGCAATGGATAGAACACTGGCCCTGGAGTCAGGAGGACCTGAGTTCAAATCTAGCGTCAGACATTTGACACTAGCTGTGTGACCTTAGGCAAGTCACTTAACTCCAATTGCCTCACCAAAAAAAGAAATTGTGTGAATCAATAATAATGCTTATTTTCTAGCATCAAACTATTTACAAGTGTGATAATTTTTCTAATTTTACCCATGCTTCAAGCCTCCAGCTCATCTTCATTCCTTAGGGCAATTTTTTCCTAACTATTCTTACCCTTACTTCTCTCCTCCTTCTTGGAACTTCTCATATACATAAACTCAGACTCATCTCTGACTTTCAGTCTCTTTATCTATGGGGAGGTTGGATTAGATTGATAATTTTAAAGGAGGAGCTTGATATACAGAGCTTTGGATCTGGGAGCTAGTGCATACATTTAACAAGATGCATTTTTTCAGTTTTGAGGAAAGAAAAACAAGAATAAAAGTGTCATTGGTTTACATTCCAAAAGAGTGTAAGCTTCTTGAGACCAGAAACTCTTTTCATCTTAATATTTGCACCTCTAATGCCTGGCAAATAGTAGCTTAATATGTATTTATTGAATGGATTCAATTGGGTTGAATCATCAAAATCCAAATTAGTTTTCATGTAGAGTTTACAGAATTGTCTTAAAGGATATCTGGAAAGCCTGAGAGGTGGGAGGGAAGACTACCCATGTGCCTAGGCTGTTTTTCGGCATGTTGTTAACTCAGGTAATCATTGACCTCCCGTTAAATGGACAAGAGCAGGCTCAAGAGCATGCTACCATCACCGATTGACTGGTTCTATCTGGGAATGTGTATTTTTTCTTTCCAAATTGTCATGAGAGTAAAATCTGAGTGCTTAGGAGGAAGAAGAATAAAGCACAATTATGTAGTTTAGATACATAGCCAAAAATACTGTTACAATGAGATGGTGTGGTGACCCAATCCTGAGTACTTATTTCCCTCAGGTCTCTTATAGTTCTACAAGTCTAGGATTCTCTATATTGTCTCATTTATTTATTTAAGAAGCCACATGACATAGTGTATAAGGAGCTGGCTTTGGAGTCAGAAAGATCTGGTTTATCAAGACCTGTCTGTGACACATATTAGCTGACTGACCGTAGACAAGTTACCTAAACTCTCTAAGTCATTTTTGAGTTGTTGAAATGCATTAAAAGGACAGAGTTTTTACATTAAGAGTTTCCTATAGTGATGAAGTCAAAGATCCAGATGTGTGTGTGTACACAGATGTGTGTGTGTGTGTAAATATATAAATAAAACTGTTTTAGGAACTCCTGGTATGAAAAAGTCCTCCAATGAGAAAGAATTAGAGTTCGGATGTGGTGGTTCTATTGTCATTGATGTAGATAATGGTTTATTGTAGATATTTTGTTAAATTGTTTCCATTTTGTATCCATTTATTGTCTTGCCAGTTTTGTCCTTAAATATTCTCAGGATGATGAGGCTTAAACCGGTTTTATCAGCAAGATTATGAACTACTTGTTGTTTTTCTAAGACTCTACTGCTAACAGTGCTTCCATCAGATTTTACAAATGAGTTTATATTCTACAGTGGCATTGCCCTTGGCTGCCTATCTCTCTTTAGTTGCCAAAGAAACAAAATGTTTCCTGGATAAGATAGGTTCAGGATTCTTTGGGCCTCCTCATTGTGTCAATTGCTTTATATACACTAAATTTCAATAGGAAATGATTTAATCCACATTGATATATGCTCTTTTATCCATTGGACATTTCTTGTGCTGCAAACTCATTTAAATATGTCACATTCAAGGTGGTTTAATTTCATTAGCTATTTCTTCTCATCTTTATTCTTTCTTGCAATTTCATACTAATTTTGATCTCTGCTCTAAAATTAACGAACCAACTTAATATAGATAGCTGATTCAGGTGCGATTCCCCCATCAGTAACCATTCATTTCTTCTCTGTTTAGACATAGTTTTAATATTTTTGATATTATTTGATGTTTATCATATCCAGCCCCTTCCAATGCTCTTCTTAAAAAGGGTATTAATATATAGGAGTTTGGTGTTTGTGTAATCAATAAAACTTTGATTCTAATTTCTTGATTCTGAACCATATTTTCACTGTATTTCCATATACTTGCTTGCCTTTGCGTTGAAGTCACCAAGTATTAGAATATATCCTGATTGAATTTGAAGGGACTTACCCAATTCTTCATAGAATTTCTGTGTGTTCTTCTCTGTGTTGGGTATAAACTCCAGTTACCTTTATGTTGGTCTTTTTACTTATGGTATAAATGAGCCCTGTGGTGGTGACCAAGTGTCCTGTAAATTGTTTCTTGTTGCCTGAGTCTGCAGAGTAAACTAATACTGCCAACTCTTTTATTTGATGTCCCAAGGGGAGCCTGTGAGCCCTTCTTCCATTTAACTGAAACTTCCTTGTACCTTTGTGTTTCATTTGTATCTAGGATATCAATACTGATGTGATTTATTTCTTCCACTAGTATGTTGACTAATTGGTTGTTAGCTCATATTTGTAGTTAAGATAATGTTTATAGGCAATCGAAAAAGAGTATGATACTTAATATTGCTTCTTTTTTTCTGTCAATCTGCTACCATTACTTGTCTTAAATTCTATTATTGTAGTTACTAGCATTATTTAACATTCATCATTGTCCAGTCGGTTATAAAGTTGAACGTGTTTTCTTTGGGTGGATTCCAAATTGAAATTCTATAGACAGACAAGAAAGCAAAACCAGGAGAGAGGATGGAATCACCCCCAAAAGGAAGATGGGTGTCAATATGGTGCAGAGGTCAGAAATGTGGTCTATATCAATAAATTGATCTCAGTTGTTTTCAAGGATCTTTAATACATCATAAAGCTTTCCCAGTTGAAGCCCTGACCCCGCCTGAATGATAGAAATGAGACTCCCACCCCATCTTTCTCTTTCCTCTGGCTTGTTTCACATTCACCAAGATTTGTAATGGAGATGATAGCTTTGGGTGCTTTTTTTTAAAACATGCCTGGCATTGTTTGTGTTTGTTTTCACTGGCAGGGAGCAGAAAGAAAAATCCGTGATGAAGAGAGGAAGCAGAACAGAAAGAAAGGAAAAGGCCAAGCAGCGCAAACCCAGTGCAACAACTGTGAGTTTGACTGGAAAATTGGGTATTTAAGACTATCACTTCATTAGGGAAAGGAAGGTGAAGGGAGGCTGTGTGTTGTCATAGATGTGGTGGGATCAAGAAGACTTAGGTTCAGATTTTGACTATGACGCTTACTGATTGAGTAACCATGGGAAAATTATCTATTATCTCTGAGCTTAAGTTTTTTACTTGTAAAATGGAGATAATCCTAACTTGCCATCTACCTCAAAGAGTTTTTATGGTGCTCAAATCAGATAATATATGTAGAGAGTATTACAATCATTAAGACATCAGAAGGGATAGAGCCAGTCTTAGGGAAAACTATGTATATACTAGGGGTGTCCTGAGTTTTCTCAGCTCTTGGCCACCTGCTTGCTACATCATTGCTGTTAGAGACATAATCTGTGTAGGATGGGCAAATTAACACCTCATATTTGCTTTAATCCGCGTTACTTTTTAGGGCAGCCTTTTCTCTTCACGGAGATAATTAACTTTATCTAGGGCTAGGGCTGTGGTTGGGATTTCTAAATCAAATATAACCCTCAGTCACTAAGAGTTTTGCAATTCTGCTCAGCCACTGATGGGAAGTTGACAGCAATACCCTTACAAAAAAAGAGCGACATCACCTACTTCAAGACAATGACTGACTTGGATTCCCAGCCCGTTCTCTTCATACCAGATGTTCATTTTGGAAACTTACAGAGGACTGGGCAGGTAAGATGCACCTACCATCCATGGGTATGAGTCATGGACCCTGAAGGCAGCTGAAATTGACTATAGCAATGTGGGTTGGGTTGGGGTTTTTTTCTGGTTTGTTTATTTTAAAGTACTCTTCTTTAAGTATCACAAAATGTCAGAGCTCTGCTTACTGAAAGTAGAACTTTTTTTTTAATGACATAAGAGTGGAAATACTCCATTAAGGACAGGAATAGACAGAACAATGGAGAAAGATCTTTGGGAGTATGAGAAAAAGTTCTGATCCTTGCTGAATTGGCTTGATGCCATAGAGTGCCACCTAGTGGTAAGAAGTGAAGATGTGACTGTTGTCTTCCATCTTAGCACCAAAAGGAAGTGGCCTACAAGTCCAATATGGGAAATCTGAACATTTCTCAGTTTGTTTATTTTTTCGCTGATTAGTTCCTGCTCTTATCGTAAATGGACCAGATTTCAGGGAGTCAAAAAGGTGGTTACTGTAAGAAATACAGACTAACAGAACAATTTAATAAGAAAGGAGGAGTTGAAGTGGCCTATTTTTAATGATACTTTCTCTGCTAGATGTGTCTTCCAAATGTTTTGGAAACACAAATCTTCCCAAACTGATGTTAGTGAAAGATCTGTTTCAAAGAGCCCTTTAAATCAAATGTGAGAGCACAACAGTTCAGACTGGACCTTAAACAAAACAACCTCCACACCAAACTTAATCCCAAAGTACCACCTTGTGAGTGAGAATTTGGAAATGGAGTCAAGAGGGCTTGAGCTGGCTCATGACTTTTCATGAGTTGTCAGCCTTTCAAAAGCAAAGAGCCAGGTTCAAACAAAACTCAACTTTTGCTTCCATTTTCATCATTCATGTGCCCATTCATTACTCAGAAAAAACATATTTTTAGCTGGATGGTAAAAGAGAGTTCAATATATTTTCATAACCATTTTTTAATTTAAAAAATCATTCTTGAGTTATTCTGTCCCTACCTTGGGTAGTGTTTAAACTTAGCTATATGTATGGGATGGAAGTATGTTGTACACTAGAACAAAGGAGTGACTGCCCATGTTTGAAGTCTCTTTGCCCTTACAGAACTTCACTACATACTGTCCAAGAGAGGGAACAATTGTGGAAATTGTCATTGTTATTATTTACTAGCAGTCTTTTGATTCTGGTTTCATGTTAAATCCCTAAATACTAGCTTTTCCTATGGCAACTTTCCTCTATAATTTAAAAAGCCACAAAGCAATTGTAAGAAGGAAAAAGACAATTTACTCTGTATATACAGGCTAAGAGTGTGGTTGGAGAAGATATGGTTCTTAGGCCATTATTAACAATTTGGAGATAGGAAGAAAGCAGAACATTTTGGCCAAACATGGCCCCTTATGCCCATCAGCCCCTATATCAAAGCAATGTTGTAGCTGCTGCCTCCTCTGATTTCGCCAAGCCCACAATCTGATCAAAGCACTGAGAAGAAGAGACAGTGATACCTTTACATATTTTAGTGACCACAGTTACAAAAGCTGTATTTCTTTCCACTAAGCCCACAAAGTCATACCACATCAATTCTCTGGAGACCAGCTTTCTGCAACCCTCAGGCTTTCAGAAGGACCCCAGACTCTAAAAGCAAGTGGGGAAGGAGCAGGGAGGTGAAGTGGCATGGAGGGTGAAGGAGCTGCTCTTGAGCACACAAACTGACAAAGCAGGGAACAGCCAGAGAACTGAACAATTATATTATGTAGCCTATAGGTTATAACAATTATATGGTATATATATATTATATAATGAAATATAGTCTATAGCAGGTTAATAGAGTATTATTTGTATACTATATATTTACTGTGGCATACTATAGTGTAGTATATATTATATATCATATAGTCTATTCTATATAGTAAATAATATAGTTTATATATAAAATGTTATATATATTATACTATAGTAACAGAAAATATATTAATAAGGTAATAAAATATATGATTTAAAACATTGTACATACTATATACTAACAGTATAGTTAGTATATAGTTAATATAACATACTAACATATATTATTTATAACATTATATAACCATTATATATCATAAATAAATATGCTATCATATCATTAATATATAATTATATTACTATAATATAATATGTTATATATATATATAACATTTATTTTACTATATTATATACTATATAGAACAGCATGAATGATATATACTATACCATAGTTTAGTATAGCATATATAATATATTATAATACAGTTGATAGTTAATAATAGTCTAAAAGTTATAGTCTATAGAAGATTATATAATCTATAGATTATATGGTACATTATAGTCTATAGTAGATTAGTAATATATTAGTATAGTATACAGGCATATGCTATGCTATAGTATATAGTATAAAGTATACTATAGTACATAATACTGTAATATTCATAATATGTAGTAGTGTAGTGTGTACTAGATTACAGTCTATATAGAGAATATCATATAGTATATTATGTTGTATATAAATTATGAGCACATAGTTGGTGATGTCAATAGAAGACCAACGTTTTAATGCAAAATTTAAGAACCACGGGAAAAATCACATAAGATGAGATATGAAAGAAGCAAAGAGGAGGAAAGAAGAAGGGGAAGACAACAGTGGGAATTGGAAGTGACTATGGGGATACTGAACAGCAGTTAATCTGATAGAGAAAAAGTAAGCTAGTGATAGAACAATTGAAAGAGGGGAGGGAAGGGTGGGCAGCATAGACAGCTATCTATAGCTCCTATGGGTAGTGTTGTTCGGACACTAAGGAAACATCAACCATAAGACAAGAAACAGCAAAGAGCCATTTAGATAAGTTTCATTAGCCATTGGTATGTCAAAGGACAACTGTCCTATTGCTAGATAATATCAGAGCTTTTTCTTAGGAGTCAGGGATAAAGTCTGGGAGTATTTACTATCTTCTTGCCTCTGTAGTGCTATTTCAATGATTCAGCCTATTAAGCAAGATATTATCCAAAATAGTAAATGCTATATAGCAAAGAATTCATGAGAAAGTTGATCAACTGTAGGACTTTCAAAATCTGAGCATTTCTTGTTCTGGGAAATCTGTTAGAACTATAAAATTAGAAGAAAGGTTGAAAAAGTTTTGGGTTGGTGTCATGTCTGCAGAGGTATTACCTGGTAATGATGAAGAATGATCAGTCTCTGGAATCAACCTTCTCCCAAGCATACATTATTGAAGTGGTGAGAAATGTTTCTCCTTCACACTCCATAAGCAAAGTTAGTGTATGTGAATTAGAAGGGCAAGTACAAGCTGGCTAGGAGGTACCTGTGATCCTTTATTGCAGAATTCACAGATGATGCTTTAAAACTGACCAACCCAAGCACATGGACAGTTAGGATGAAGAGATGCTTTTTTTTGGAGGGTGAGAAAACCCCTTGGGAAAAGGATGCATCTCTCTTGTATTCACAAATTTATTTTGCATAGAGGCAGATAGGTTGGTTGTTTTTTTTGTTTGTTTGTTTTTTCTCTGCTGTTGTTGTTTTTGCCTAGGGAGTTATTTGGCTGCACATTCATGAGAGAGGAAAATTACTCCCTACCATCCCCTACAACAGAAGCTGACATCAGGAACTTTTCTAGGAAAAATCATTTCCAGAGCTACTATGGGGGTCAATACACATTGTGTTTTATGCTCTGCTTGATTTATATCTGAAATTCATCACAATGACAAGTGCATGTTAGAAGGACCCTGAATCATCAAGAGAAGGTTAAATTATGTTCTATGCACCCTACTTAAGAAGATAGAAAAGAATATTGTACATTTATGAAAGATTGTAATTAAAAAACCCAAAAATTAAATTAAGACAAGTCCAGCACTTAGAAGGATAACCTTCACCTTTCTGGGGAAAACAATGTCATGAATAATTTATTCTCTAAGGCTTCAAGATATCTGAAGTTTTACTATGGAACAACTCCTAGGCTTGCTAGCCACTATTAACATTTGCTAGGAGTTTCCCAGAAACTTCCAAACTACCACTGACTTCCCCCCTCTAGAATGCTGATGAAGGAACAGTGATCTGAATATCTTAGAGCTCAAGTAGACTTGGCTGGCGTGCCTTCCAGTTGGGCATCAAATGAGGGGAAGTGAATGAGCTATATAGATATTTTGCCATGTCTAAGTTAAAAGGGCCACAGATCATTAGGAAGTGAATGTATAAAGCAGCCTTATAGTTAGTTCTCACAAGTCAGTAGGTCCCTAAAGCCCAAGTATCTGTCTGTAGCAGATAGGATAACATCTGCTTCACAAGGAAAATTTCATCAAAAGCAAACAAAACCATCTGAGTATTTGTCTTCACTTTTTAAAGATTCACTGACTTATTTCCTTTCTGTTTGTTTTTTTCATGGATCACAAAAAAGATTGATTCCCTTCTGCCCCTCAACTTATGTGAGGTCTCCTTGATGAATAGGGGGACCATCTGCAAGTATGAACTTGCTCAATTCAGATGCAGCTGGCTTTAGACTTTTCTGTTGTTGAGGGATATCAGGACCCTCTGTCCTCCTTGAAGAATAAGCTAAGAAGCCAGAAGTTTATGCTATGGGAGCAGGGGGTGCTTTTTTGTATGTCCCTCCTGTCCATGTTTTCATCTTTACCCCACATAACAGCTGATCCAGGAGTCAATTCCTTCATGTATTGACTTTAATACATTAGTCACAGAACATACAGACACCTAGCCAAAGAAGCCTTTTCCAGTTTTGCCACCTTCTGTGGCTTATAGACCTTGTTTAAAAGTCTCCTAACACAAGCAACCAATATCTGGACTAGACTAGACCAGAAACAATCTTTGCTTTAGAGTTCTAGGTAACATGACCAGGATTACTTTGACTAAACCCTGCAAGAAGAGATAGTAAGAGATACCCCATTTAAAATAACTCTAGACAGTATAAAATAATTAGGTTTTAAATGTTGTTTCATTAAGATATAAAAAACTTAAAAAAAGATATAAAAAACTTCTTTCCGGGGGGTAATTGTTGTTCTGTTAAGATTTACATTTAAAAAAAAACATATACATACATGCTGCACTCAACAGTTTTGCCCTTTTTGAGAAAGGGAAGGAGACAGAATTTTAGGGAAGACTATGGCTCACACAGTATATTTTTTCATCTCTCTTCTCTGAATGATGTTCTTTCAGCTGGGATAATAGGACCGGGGTAAATCTGTAAATCTGTTATTTTTTCTGCAGGCATATTACAACACTGATGACGAGCGAGAAGGGTAAGACATTTAGTTCTTTTATTTCAAAGCTTGGAGGGAAATAAGAGACAGTCAGTGCATACCAGTAGAAATGCTCCATCTGTGTATTCCAAACAGGGGGTGGAACCTCTCCAATCCTGGCTTTTAATTCCTGATTATGATGGAGTTGATACTAAGGACCATTTGGGAAGGAAGCCCAGTAAATACTACATTCCTGTTCTGACTCTCATATTTCTTCTTTTCCTCTCTAAGGACTAACTTGTGTTGTGTTTTGTTTTGTTTTATCCTGAGTGACCTAATTTTTCAGCCTTTCCACTTCAAATAGAATCTTAAGTAAGGAGAAATAAAGAGGTAGCAGGGAATGTGATTGTTCTGAATGATATTTAGAGTGCATTGTATATTTCATTATTAAGCATCAACTTTGCAATACGCTGTGCTAGGTGCTGAATCTATAAAGATAAAAAACAATACGTTCCCTGTCCTCAAGGAGCTTATTGTTGGCTCTTCGTGGTACAAAGTAAGGCAGGAAGGAAAGGATCACTTGGACCTTCCTGGTCACCTAAGCTCACCCACCCTAATTTATTTGAGCATAGGATGATAATCTGTCATTGCTATATAATCAGAATGACAAGGACTCTATGAGTAGTACTTCTTAAAGTGAAAATAGTCTTTAACACCAGCTTCCTCTATATCATACTCATACAAATCCTCCATTCCAGGAATATTAGTGAATTGTGTGTGAAGTGGAGAAGAGGGTAAAGTGAAGTTAGAAGGAAGAGTTGAAATGGCCCTAGGTACTTTTATTTAAGTCACTAAAAACATTGGCACCTATTAATTCACCCATGCCATAGTTTCATCTTCTGGTCTACAAGGCGAACAGAAACATGGAAGCTCTTCTATTTCTTTCAAGATACTAGACAAGTGAGCATAGTTCTTTCACCTTTTAGGGGACTCTAGATTTTCACTGACTACTGTGAACTCAAGAAGCCGGTAGGAGAATGGATGGGGCTTCACTTTTTTTTCTTTTTGAAAAGAAGAAAAAGGCAGGCATTGGTCTTCCAGATCTTATTATTGTTATTTATTACCATTTATATACCACTTTATACTTTCCAAAGCACCACAATCTTCATTATTTCATTTCAATGAAGTTAGACCAGAAACAACTTTGCTTTAGATTTCTAAGTAATATGACCAAGACTACTCTGGCTAAATCCTACAAGAACATAAATGCTTAAGAGTTGGAAGGGACCTTAGGGGAATCCTGTCTTCATTCCTGATCAGTGGTCATCTAGCCTCTTGCTTGATGACCTACACTGATGGGGGCTCACTACTTCATGAGTCAGCACATTCTAATACTGGTGACTTGTAGATGTGAGAAAATTCTTTCTTATGTTGAGCCACAACCTCTTCTTTTATAACTTTTCACCCTTCCTGTCCTAATTCCGCCCTTTTAATCTGCAAACCATAAGCTTAAGCATTCTTCTACTGGACACCTCTTAGATATTTGCAGAGAGCTATCATATGTCTTCAAAGCTTCTCTCTTTGGGACAAACATTTCCAGTGTCTGCAGCTGAGTCTTCTAAGAGATTTGCATGCTCCTGGTCACCTTGGTTGCCTTCTTTGATGGCTCCTGATTGTCACGATCTTCCTTCAAAGGTGGTACCCAGAACTGGGCACAGTACTCTGCTTTCTGTGATCTAGAAGAGAAATGTCTATTAACTCAGTTTAATGTTTTTGGTAGCTCTATTACATTGTCAGCCCGTATTAATCATATGCTTGACTAAATCTACTCCCATTCTCCTTGTCTTTCCCCACACGACTTTATTCCAACTCACCTTATAATTTTGGAATTGAATTTGAGCTTGGGGACAGATATGATTATTCTTATTTTCAAATGAGTAAATTGAGGCTCACTGGACTTAAGTAATGATTAAAATCACACTTATAGTTAGTAACAAAGTCAAGACTAGAACCCAGGTCTCTTGCTACTCACCTATAATGCTTTCATCATTAATCTGTATACAAGTTCATCTATTTGGTACCTATATTTTCTATCCACTCTCTGTTTACCCCTTAATTATTAATAGCTTTGATACCCAAGGTGTTATTAGTATTGTTAACACCCTCAATGAAGAAGCAACAGGGAGCAGGAGCCAGAAACCAGAATAGGAATCAGGAAAATCTGGGTTCAAGTCCTGTCTCTACTGTGTATTGGCTGTGAGCCTCTGCACAAATAACTTAACCTCTCAGTAATCCCCTCCCCCAAATAACTTTATAAGATAATTAGTTGCAGATCCATGTGGGATTTGCTCACCAGAAATTAAGTGGTCTGATGAAATCCTAGGTTTGGACTGTCCTCTTTTCTATTACTGCCCAACCCTTCAGTACCCTGAGAAATAACTCAGGATTCTTTGTGAATACATATACACTTTTCTCCCCTGAATCTTATCTCTCCTCTTCCCTTCCAATCAATCAAAAACATTTATTAAATGCCTTCTATGAGCCACACACTGTGCTAGGCATGAAGGATACAGATATAAAAATAAGATAATCCCTGCCTTCAGAGAGGTTATATTCTGTTACTATCCCTGAAATCTGTGTGTCAGAACACCAGATCATTTTCAGTCATATCAACCACTCTTTCTATGTCACCCTGGATTTCCTTGGTTGCTCTCACCCTGTTTTTACTAGATGCTAGGGTTCTTTCCAAATTTAGATTCAGTTTCCATCCACATTCTTCTGCACGCTAATATACTCAATAAATATTTGACATTTTATATACCTTTTCTCATTTAATCCTTACAACAACCCTGGGGGGTGAGTGATAAAAATTATGATCATACCCATTTTACAGATGAGGAAACAGAGGCTGTGAAAGGTTAAGTCTTTTTTCCATTGGTTACACAGCTAATACATGGAAGAGGTTGAATTTGAACCCAGGTCTCTCTTGCATCTAAGTCCCACACTTTTTTCTATTACATCAAACTAACTCATAGTAAATGTCCAGAGACCAACTGACTACCTCAAATCAGTAAATCAGAAAAGCAGACATTGGGGACAGCGAGGTAGCACAGTGGATACAGCACTGGCCTTGAAGTCAGTGGGACCTGAGTTCAAATCTGGCCTCAGACCAGACATTTGACACTTACTAGTTTTGTGACCCTGGGAAAGTCTCTTAACCCCAATTGCCTTTAAAAAAAGAAAGAAAAGTAGACATCAAAGATGATAAATAACGTGGTTCTCTGTTATGTCTTTGCCATGGGGTAAACTTTACTTTCCTTCATTGAGTGGTTCAATAACTTACTCAAATCTCAAGTCACCAGAGACTTGAGACCCTGCTTACTCATCCTCCAGAACGTGGAGAGTTCCTTATGGGCATTTGCAATTGGATCAGTGTGGTCACCTGAGGAGTTAGGCTTTCAAAACCCAGACCCTTGCTGCCTTGAGCAGAGTATTTATTTTAAAGGTTCTGAAATCCGCTTTCCTACCAACTTCACTTTCCTCATTAAACATAACAACATTACCATTAAAATGAGAACAAAATGCTATGTTTTATACTGTCACCAATCTGTATGAATTATAGCATGTCATTTTATGATTTGCATTAAATACCCAGCCTTGCTTCCAGCTGGTGATATGAGATTCCCATACCAGAACACCCAAGCCTTTCCCCCAGAGACCTCCTAGTGAGGCATTGTCACAAGGCAGAGACTCTGTCACCATTGGGAAATGCTATTCAGACAGATGCTGTAGCAATAATGAATGCAATTAAAAAAGGAAATTCAAGGGGACATGGAGGCGGAAAGCAACTGGCAGCCAGTCACCCATACCCTAATAAGATCACTAAGGATGGTTAGGTGCTTTTTGAAATAATAGGGGAAGTGCTCAGTTTGACTTCCCCTGCAGAATCCAAGTCTCAGCTTCTTTGCCCTACTAAGCTTAATGAACTAAGTTCTCCAAAATGCTAAAATTCCATCTGGGGATTAAGTTACTCACGAAGAAGGTTGATTAACTCTCTTAAGCCATTAAGGTATCCTAATGCCAAATGAGAAAAGAAGAGAGAGTAGGAAAAAAAATAAGGAAAGGGGAAAGAGTGGAAAAAGAAAAAAATTCTGACTGCATAGGGAATAGAAGTTTGCCTAGAGATAAAAATAAGGCAGAAAAGGAAAAATATGTGAGTATTGAGGAAATGGGAAAGAATGGCAACCAAGTCAGAACAGGGTTTTGAAATAAGGAAAACTAATTGAAGGGAGAGAAATCTCTTTTTAAGGAGACAAAACCTGTGCCTTTGTCATAAAATTTTAGAGCTAGAAAGGATTTTCGATATAATCTGGGTCCTTTTGTACCAAGGAGGAAAATGAGATGTAGAGTAGTCAAATTGCTTGCTCTCCCTACCAGTAGTTTCTTACCTTGGATTACCTTCAATTTACCCAGTATACATCTTGTTTGTGCATCATTGTTTTCATGTTGTCTCCCCCATTAGAAAGTGAGCTTCTTGAGGGGAGGCACTGTTTTTGCCATTCTTTGTATTCCCAGCCCTAAATACAGTGCCTGGCATTTACTAGGTACTTAATAAATGCTTCTTCTTGTTGTGATAGAGCCGAAACTAGAACCCAGCTTGTAAATTAAATTAACAAACATGTATTAAGCATCTACTATGTGCTAGGCACTATACTAAGGGTTACAAAGAAAGGCAAAAACAGTGCCTGACCTCAAGGAGCTCAAATTCTAATGGGACAGACAACATGAAAACAACCATGTAAATAAGTACAGGATAATATACTGAGTAAATGGAGCTTGGAGGTACCAGAGATATAAAGATGAGTGATAGGGGGTTCACGTTCTGGAGAGGAGAGGAGAGAGAACATATAAATGAATATTTTACAGAAAATAGCAGAAGTATATGAGAAGTGCATATTTGTAAGTCCAAGAATGAAGAGATCATTTGCAATTTCCTATGTCCCAATCCATACCTCTTTCTTAGTAACAAGTTAATGAACAAGGATATTCTTTGGTAAAACAACAGAGAGACAGACTTCCGGTTGAAAAGAAGTTGCTTTTATCTTCAGTACCATCTCTTAGCAGCTATGCCCCTCCCCTCCTCACATTGCACCAGACATAGTCACTTTGCTGCCTTGGAGGAATGGGTATCTGGTGCTGCCTGACTCCTGGCTCAGATTGTCTTTCTGGGCACTTTCTCTTTGTCTCTACAAGAGAGCCTTGGCTTTGACATTTCTGAAGGGAAACCAGATATTTTGCAAGGTCATTTTGTAGACTTAATTGCAGAGTAGCTAAGAAAAGAACTGGGACTAACTTGTATGTTCCAGGACCAACAGCTATTTTGACCACAGGCACAGAATTTCCAAGCTGGTGGAGACAGCAGAGTTCAACTAATCCAACACATGTGTACACAGAAATTCCATCTACGATATCCCAGATGAGTGGCCATCTCTGTTGGAACAAGGAATTTGCTACCTTTGGAGATATCTGGTTCCACTTCTTTCTGTTAGGAAATTTTTTCATTGTGAGGAGCTGCAATTTCCCTCTCCATAAATTCTACTCATTAATTACTTATCATTCTGCCATCTGGGATCAAAGCATAGTCTTTCTTCTGTGTGACAGTCCTTCAGAAAAGTCAGCCAGCACCCATACCCTCTGAATCTATCCCAAACTCTGTTTCTTCAGGCTGACCATTTTCAACCAATCCTTGTATAGCATGGTCTCCATTACCTCCCCATCACATCTGGATTTCCTGCCCTTGGACATGCTCTAGGTTCTCAGCATGACTCCTGAATTTCAGTTCTCCAGATGTGGTCAGACCAAGGCCAACTACAGAAATACTGTATCTCCCATGTTGTTCAGGACTGACACAGTACCCTTCTACATAGCCTAGTGTGGTATTAGGCTTCCAGGTCATGCTACTAATCATGTTGAGCTTACAACCCACCAAAAACTAAAAAAAAAAAAAAAACCCAAACTCAGCTGTCCATCACATTAACTCTCATCTGACCACAATTCCTCCATCCTCTGTTTGTCTGGTTGCTTCTTAAAAACCAAACTGTGGGACCTAACATTCATTACTATTGAATTTTATCTTATTAGATTTGACTCATTATTGAGATCTTTTGGGATCCTGATTTTATTATCCAATATGGTAAACCATCACTCTTGGATTCCTGTTATCCACAAATTAGATAAGCATGCCATCTCTGCTTTCCTGAAAGTCATTGAAAAAAAATGTTTACTTAAACAAGGTCAGATCTCTATGGTACTCCATGGAACACTTTTCTCCAGATTTGCATTCATCTATAATGGCTACTCTTTGGGTTCAGCCATTCACCCAGTTCCAAATCCACCTAAGTGCACTGTCATCTAGTCCACATTTGTCTACCCTTCCTTGTATGTAAGGACATCATCTGAGGCTTTCTCAAACGCTTTGCTGAAATCCAGTTGTAATATGTCTATGGTATTCCTCTAATCCTTGAATTACATTTTCTTTAGAAAAGTTAAAATTAAGTGCCTGCCAGCCATGAGTGCAGCATATTAAAATTTTGTTGAGCCTAAACTCTTTTTTCATGAGCAAAGTGGGAAAATAATATAAGGATATAAAGCCAAATATACTTCCCAGAATCATAGAAATCATGAAATCAACCAACACGGAGCCCAAACTGTATCCTGGATTACCTACTGACTTAACTATGTTCTTTATTGATAAGACATTAAAACTCTCAGATCCTAAGTTTCTGCACCATTAGAATGGAGGCAGCAATACCTCAGGATGCTAGATTTAAGATAGTAGATTTTAAAATGCCTTTCAAGTATCCTGAGGTGCTAAGGATATGAAAGATTAAAAACACTTTGAGGTCTCCAGGTGAGAGGTATAGAGTGCTGGACTTGAAATTAGGAAGCCCTCAGTTAACATCTTGCCTCAGATACTTACTAGCTGTGTGGCTTTGGACAAATCACTTAACCTTTTCCAGCCCGTTTCCTCATCTGCAAATAGGGATAATAATAACATTTACCTCACAGAGTTGCTGTGAAAATCAGATGTGATAACACATGTAGAGTGTTTTGTAAACCTTAAAATGCTTTATAAATGCTATTAATAATAATAATTCAAGATGTTCTTTAAATAACAAGTTGGCAAGATTCAGATGATAGAAAAAATTGTGTTTTCGTATCTGGAAAAAATGATCAGAAGTCAGCAGGTCTAAGAAACTATAAAGCAGATTAGTCAGAAAAAGATGAGCTCTATTCAGAGACCCAAGGTAAACAAAAGGAGGTATCAAGGTTTAATTCTCCATCTATTTACCAACAAGAAATTGGTTGGCCATTAACAACTGGATTTCCTACATCTTGAAAGGGTAATTATGTCACTTACTGGGCCTCTGCTGCCTGGCCTCAAACTTCTTGGTAGAATAAGACCTGCCCCTATGACCTGTATTTATGACATGCTAACCTGGGGAAGGAAGGGGATTAATAAAAGGAACTTACAATAGAGAGAGAAAAAAAACCCAAACCAACCTCCTTCATCTAAGCAGGACCTCCTGATTTTTTCTGCTCTCTGACTTTGGTAAGAGGCACCATGGATTGAATGCTGGTTCTGTGTGGCAGGATAACTGGCTTCAGATCTTAGGTCTATGTACTTGCTATCTTTGGGACCTGGGCAAGTCTAATCACTTAATAGCTCACTTTTGAGCCTTTGTCCTTAGCTAAAAATGGAGATTAAAATATTCATATTATTACCCATCTCACAAGTTTAGAGCAAAGTACCTACTGAACTTTAATGTGCTATGTGTAAATGAAAGCTGTTGTCTACCATTGACGTTTTTCTAAACTTTAATTTTCAGTTCTATACTTAAAAAATGAGAGAATGACTACTTTCCTCTTGTTTCTATTACTATCATTCACTATCATTTCATATTTATTGAGGGACTACCATGTACCATTGTTTAGTCCTAATGCTAATGGGATGCTTTCTAGATCCTACTTAGGTATGGATTATCTACATTAGTGACCCACTTCTACTAGAATGGTTGGATTGTTACTTTTAATTGGTTTCTTTGTAACAATAATGCTCAGAAAGAACCCTTCTTGGGAGCAGTCTTCTAAACTGCCTTGTGAGCTAAGTGTGATACTAGGGTAGAGGTGTGTTCCTGCTATGCACAAAATGGCAGCTCTCCACTTTCTTATGCCCTCTACCTCCCTGTTCTTCTTTCTCCCTATTATTACCCTCTTCCTCTACTCCATTCTGCACCTTCTACCTCATTTCTTAGTTGTGCCTGATCCTAAGAATCCCCAGAAAGCTGAGGGTTGAGTTCAGTCTCTTTCTTTGTCTCAATACCAGCTACTTCCTAAAGAAATGAGACACTTCATTCTCCCTTTGGAAGCCCTGCTTCTCGTTCTTGGATGGTGATGAAGAGGGATACCAAAACCCCCACCTACTATTTAGGGCATTGTTTTACCTCCCTTTGTTTGGTCACTCTGTGTGTGTTTTATCAATAAATTGCTTGTGTTCTTTTCTAGTAGCAGTGTCCTTGTTAAAAGGATGTTCAGGCCAATGGAGGAAGAGTTTGGTCCACCACCTTCTAAGCAGATGAAAGAAGAAGGAATGAAGAGAGGTACTTAGCAGCTAGAGGCACCACATTTCACTGTCATCACTATGGTTATACAATGCACATTCACCCATTTGAGTTTGCCAAGGACAACACTCACCTCAGCTCAGTCTCTCCAGTCATTTATGGGGCTGGTTGTTGGTATCACATAAACTAGGCCACACAGGATGACTGAAGGAAAATAGCTTCAAGAGTATAATAAAACTTATAATTATATTATTATATATAACATACATAAATATATATTATACATATAATAAAACTTATGTCACTTATACACACACCTACACCAGGGAAATTATTTCTTTTAATTATTTTTAAAAATTATTAAAAAATTTTTTTCAGGAAAATTCTAAGGAACCATATCAAGCAACAGGGCTCTAAACATGTTAATTATTTAAAAATGAAAACAACCCTTCCCCCCCAAAAAAAAAACACTTAAAGTAACCCATCTGCATTAGACATGGTGAAAGCTTCAGTCTCAGGGGACCTGAATACCATTTGTAAACAGATCTGGCTGACCCATGAAGTTGCTTGGGCAAATTGGAAAGTTGCAAGCTATGCCCATAACAATATTGTTGGTTGCTCTTGGGCCTGAGGCAAATGCCTGATTGAGTGGAGGCAAGCCTGGCCCGCTGTACCAAAATATCTTTAGCCTGCCACTGAGGCTATGATCTTTGCTTCTTGACTTCTGCCTGTGGTCTTTGGTTATTGACTTCTCAACTTCTAACTTCGGGGCATTCATTTGTGAGTCACAAATGTTGTAGAGGTTTCCTGGACCCACTGCAGCAGGTGGGATTTAGATTAGCCATAATGAAGCATTCCTGATGGTGGAAGTTGGTCAACTCTGTAACTGGTTTTCAAAAGAAGTTACAGAAGGTGGTTTGTTGTTTTTTATTTTTTTTTAAACCAGATAAGCCCGGTTTATATAGACATCATCTTTAAGGCAGTCATGACTAGGTGACCTGCCACATCCTTGTGATTCATTGTTTTCAATAAAGAGAGCCAAGCGTAGTTCCACTCAAACCACCTTTTGGTGTTTGGAAAGAAACTACTCAAATCCTGGTACTATTTTTAGTTTTCATTTACTTCTCCTTTTCACTGTTCTGTGAAGGGATTAAGCAATGAAAGCACAGAAATTCCCCCATGCAAGTCTGTCCTATCTAATTTCCCATTTCTGTTTAGATGGACTTGGGGGGATTTGCTAACAGACAAACTCAAGCTCTTTTTCGTGAGATTTTCCTGAATTGGGTTGGCAACCTGAGCACTGTTAACTGAGACTCCTGAAAATGTTTCCATCGGTGTGTTGTAAGAAGAACAGCACTAGACTGAGAGGGCAGATGTATGGATCCTGATCCTGGCTCCTCAACTAATTAGCTCTATAGCCTTGAACAAGTCACTTAAACTCTCTGGAACTCAGTTTCTCCACTTATATATTGATGAAATTGTACAAAATGATCTCCAAAGTCCTTTCAGTGTCTATAAGCCTATGATCCATAAAATCTGACGCCTTATCATGACCTACTGCTTGCCCCAGTTCCTAAGAAGCAAAATCTACTATTTCTAATCCTAAACTTTCACAGTCAGTGGGTCCTTCTTTGTTTTTTCACATAGAATAATACATTTTAAATGTATAGTTAATTAAAATTTCAGAGAAGCATGCCCACCGGAGGGGGAGGGCATTAGATTACAGAAGAGTCAGAGAGACCAGTTTAAGCTGCAGCCCCCTGGTAGGAATTCTCAGGAACATTGCAGCAGACCACAAACAACATGAACAACTCAGATTGTTATTTTCCTCCTTCTGATAAATGAGGGCAGGAGAAATAGAGGTGGAAAATGTCTACTTTTATAGAAGGCCAAATTCTGAGTTCATAGTCCTGGAGTCCCCAGGGAAATAAGTGCCCAAAGAGGGGGCACAGTACCACAGCAAAGATACTTTGCAAACTTTATCAGCCAATACCTAATAATGTTTGAATTATATTTTCAACCTTGGAAGAGACTTCTTATAAAATTGAGTTCAGTCAGGCCTCCTTTTCCTTTTGTCCTTCTGTGCTCATGGGATCCTGAGATTTAGAACGGTATTGGACCTTTAAGAGGCCATCTGATCCACCCCATACACTTTACAGACGAAAATATTGAGTCCCAAAGACTTGAAAATGTGACATGTCCAAGGTGTTCCAGCACATGGTCCTCAGTGTGGCTCCATTATGTCTGTGTGACCCTGGGCAAATCATTTCACTTGAATTCTTATCTGTAAAAAGTATGATTTGAATCAGATGACCTTTGAGGTTTCTTTTGGCTCTAAATGTGTGATCCTATGATTTTATCGCTTGACTAATTGCAGTATTCTTGGTTTCTATGGATGCAACCATCCCACCCCCTTCTGGCCAGCCCCCTGCCAACCTTATACCTCCTCGCCTTAAATATTTGCCAACATACCCATAATCTGCTTTAGATCCTAGAGGACATTTTAATTTTATTTGCTTATACAAATACCAGCACCCTCCATGAGCATGGAGGAGTTGATTATTACTACACGATATTTCATTATGTCAGCTTTGGGATCCATAGATTGTGGAAGGATTAAGCAAGTAAAGGAACTACGATATTAAGGTTGTTTTGCTACTGTTTACTGAGCATATCTCACAAATGCTAATGAACCCTTGTGGTTTGTAGGTAGCAGACAGATGAGTAATTACAGGACCTAGAATGAATTTTTATCTTCCTAAGGCTCCACCATTATGAAGGTCTATTCCTCTCCTTCTGGGACAAGGTTCAAAAGATCCATGGAAGAGTCCTTCCATTTCCATGTCAGTAAAAGAATAATAAAATGTTAGAGCTGAGTGGAACATCAGAGATCTCCTAGGCTAACTCCTTCATTTTATAGACAAAAGAAATTGAGTTTCATAGATGCCAACTAAGTTGCATAACAACCACCACCATCATGATGATAATAATCATGTTGATGATAACAACGATGATGAGGACAGAGAGTCGGTATTGGCCTAGAAGCCAGAAAGATCTGGACTCATCCCACCTCTTATACATACTAATTGTGTGATCCTGGGCAAATCATTTAACTTCTCAATACTCTAGGCAGGTCTCTAAGACTGTGAACTACAGGGAATATGCTCACTTACCTCAGTGGAGGGAGTTTCCAAGCCTGGGGATCCATTCCTTATCATTTTCTCTATCTAGTTATAATAATGAAAACAACAACCATTCATCCCCATAGTCTTGTCTGCCACTGGAGTTGTTCCAAAGGTCCTTTCATTGAAGCTAGAGAATACGACCTTACATCCTAATAATTGTATTCAATTATTAAAAAAAAAAACTTTTGTTCAATTATAAAAATGTCATTCTGTACAAAAACCTGCAGAACATTAAACATAAAAGAATAATAACAGGATAGTAACTCATCTCTGGACTGTTTCTACTTGAATTCCATCAAACAAATAAGAAGATAATAATAATTTGATATGTGATTAGGTGGGAAAGCGAATAATGGAAAGAATTATGGCCTTGGAGTCAAAAGACCTGTGTTGACATCTAGTTTCTGACACTATCTGTACCATCACAATCAAATCATTTTTCTTCTCGGAGTTTACTTTCCCCCATCTGTAAAATGGGGATAATTATACGCTACCTTTCCTACAGTATTGCCATAAAGAAAGGGTTGAATAAATGTGAGTTAGTACTACTAATAATTATATCTATAATAAAAAACAAATACTTAATAATAACTATTAATAAAAATATAATTATAATATTATAATTATAAATTATAATTTTTAATGGTCACACACAAGGATTTAGCCATGACATTTATCCCCATATAATGTTTTTCCTGTAGTCTGGCCCTTCAAAGCTTTTATGTACAAACCCTGAAGCAAGTATGAGGGGGGGAAAAGCATCTTTGTGATATGTATGGATGCTGTTATTAAAGTGTTTTGTCAAAGGGACAGAGATAGAGAAAGACCTAAACCCTAGGTCTTTAGCACCACCAATGTGGGTACAATAAGCAACAAGCAAGAGGAAAACATCTTCACAGTAAGAAAAGTGTTGGAGGTGGGGGAGGAATGTGGGCAGGAACACGTTCCAGTGGCTGGTTGCCAGCAACGCCATCTACTTCTGCCTGCCTCTTGCTCTTGATCAGGTTAGCCACTCATGCCTCATGCAAATGTGCAGTTGTACTGAGCTGCCCTTTCAAAACATGGGCGAATCAAGCTCCATGAAGTTATCTGTTGTTTATCCCGCGGAAATTCCTGAGTGTAGATTAGTTCTGCAGGAAACTATTATCATCATTATGGCTATTGTTAGCATTGTCTTGGTACTGACTTACAGGCATGGTTCCTTCAAGGACAATTGGGAGCCTTTCCCACTGAGCAGAATGAGGATGCCTGTGGTGCCCAATGTCCATGATGGAGGAATTCTTCCTGATGTTGTTGTTGTTAAAATTGTCATTATTGCTATTCTCCTGCCATAGAGCTCTAGTTAATAAAGCCCCAGCTCCCTAAGGAAACAGCAGGGAGGGCTCCATAGACCCAGGATGTCAAGGCTTAGCTGTCAACACACTCAGCCAGAGAACATCTGAACAACCTTGCCCCTTGGTTCTGAGCCAACCCAATACAACATCACTTAGATATTTCATTTAACCCTTTACAGTGACACCAGAGACAGTATTAACTGTGACATTTTAGTAGCTGGAGCTTTAAAAGACCATTTGCAGATGAAGAGATTAAGGGTCAGAGAAATGATAAATCTCGTCAAGGTCATTTAGCCAATAAGTGACTGAGGTGGATTGATTCAAACCCAGGTCTATCTCCTAACCCCAGCTCTTCCCTCCAGACCATCCTGGCTTTCCAGTGTCATGGGGCACCATTTTTGTGTTCCTTCTTAGGATTAGAAATTTAAATCTGGAAGGGACTTAAGTGGTGATCTGGTCCAACCCCCTCATTTTTCAGATGAGGAAAATAAGACAGAGAGGCTCACTCAATGTCACATAGGCAGTTAGGAGAGTCAGAATTTGAATTTGTATCCTTGGACTCCAAAGATATTGCCTTTCTCCTTTTCCCTACTGCCTTCAGTGTGGGCCGGCTACAATTTAGATCATATAAACCCCAAGGAACACATCTGCAGGAATATGTTTCCCTTCAATGGGCATATAATGATTTTCCCTCCTATTTGTTCAAAACTAGTTTTCAAGTAATTTTCTCCTGGGATTTAATGAAATGCCTTCTATAACTTACATGTGTATTTATTTCCTCCTGTATCAAATAACAATGCAGCCTTTGATAAAGTCACTAAACCTGTCTGGGCTTTAGTTTTCTGATCTATAAAACAGAAATTTGGACTAGAAGGTGATGGTGAAGATTCGCTTCCACCTCTGACAGTCTATGAACTGTGACCCGATATAAATGGGCAGCTAAGCAGTGAAGTTGATAGAGTGCTGGGCCTAGAGTTGGGATGACCTGAATTAAAATCTGGCCTCTCACACTGTGATCTTGGGCAAGTCACTACATCTCTAATTGTCTCTGTTTCTTCATCTGTGATATGGGGATAAGAACAGCATTTACTTTCCAGGGTTGTTGTGAGGTTCAAATGAGATATTTGATAAGCCTTTAACACAGTACCTGGCACACAGTAGGTGCTTAATAACTGTTCATTCCCTTTGGCTTACCTTATTAAAATTCATTCATCATTAATTTTCTTTACATCCTTTTTCTGAGCAAATGAAATATTAGTCCTAAAACATTAGTTGATGAGATTTATCCGGGCATACTTGGGGATGGAGGTGGTAGGGAAAGTGTGATTTGTCCATTGCATCTTGTCTTATTTTACTGATTAAAAAAGAAAAGAATTTTTTAGTAATGATGCTTTAAAAATATTCTTATATAGCATCCTGTACACAAGAGAATAAAACACAAGCAGAGTCCATCTGTATTTTATGTAGATTTTCCATTCCCCAAAGTCAGTCTTTTATGAGTTAGGGCTTAGGGATTTATATATTAGCTCCAAATCTTTTCATTCCTTCGCCCCTTTCTAGTGACATTCATATCCTTCAGATTGATGCCCCCATTGTAGTTGGGACAGGGATGTGAATGAGTTTTTCTTTAACCATGCATACTGTACATGGTTTTTGTTCTTTTTATTGTTGTTTATAAATATCACACTCCATTCTTCTGAAATAGAAGCATGAGTCATGTCACTGAGGGAGAAAAGAAGGACAGTAAACTTAGGACCAGTGAGTTTTATCTGAATTTCAGATCCTCTAGGATCTTGTGAGAGCTGAGCCACAATGTAACTGGTGAATTGGAAACATGGAAGGAGGGGTTTGAAATGTTTGGCATTGTGGAGAGAGCCCTGAACTGTGGGAGGAGACCAGAGTTCCAGATCCAGCTCTGCCACTAAATAGCTGTTTGATTTTGGCCAAATTGATTAGCTTATAGACCTTAGTTTTCTCATCTATAAAATGGGGGTTTGAACTAGAAGCTGATTGTGAAGGTCTCCTTCTCTCCTCTAACAATCTCTGATCTCTGAACAAATGTGAATAATGCTGGTTGACTAATGCAGAAAGAAACAAAAACTATTTTAATCCCAGCTTTATTTGGGACACAAGAAAATTATAATGAACGTATGGAAGCTTCCTAGGAATGAGCCCCAAGTTCATGTATTTCATGCAGATCCAGTCTGTAATCTCGGTGCCAAAGAGCCACATGAGATTTAAATGGTTTTGGTCAATGGTTAATGTTAAGTGGTAGATGACATTGTACAGTCCTTGGTGAAAACTAACCAGATTCAATCTCAATCCTGAGAAGTGTGTGTGGCCCCTGAATATGTCAGAAAATATTTATCCAGGTTGTTCTATGACACTAACTTACATGGCATAGCACTTTACTGCTTTCAAAGTAGTTGCATAGCTCATAACTTTGGAAAGTCAGGATGGTCTGGAGGGAAGAGCTGGGGTTAGGAGATAGACCTGGGTTTGAATCAATTCCACCTCAGTCACTTATTGACTAAATGACCTTGATGGGATTTATCATTTCTCTGACCCTTAATCTCCTCATCTGCAAATTAGAGGTAATGATACATTTCATTTTCCACCTCACAGAGTCGTTGGGAAGAAATTGCTTGTAAATACTAAAGTCCTATGGAAATAGGAATATTTGATGTGGTTATTATTAGTTAGGAACTGGAACTGTGAGTTTATTGATATAGGGGTCTCCTGAATGAGGGAATTCCATCTACCAGTATAGGTGGGCATCATCTCTATAGCAGAGAGAGCAATCTGGAGCACCGAGAAATAAATTAAATGACTTGCTCAAGGTTACACAGCCTGTATGTTTCAGAAGGGGCATTTGAACCCAGGTCTTTCTGACTCCAAAGCCAGTTCTCACTGCTCTGCCATGCTGTCTTGCTTCGTCACATCATCACCACCACCATCCTCCTCCTCCTCCTCCTCCTCTTCATCATCACTTGGTCTTTAAAATATATCTGTGTTGATGTACAACCATACAACATTAGACTTGAAAGGGACCTGAGATGTCATTAAGTCCAACTCTTTAATTTCATAGATGAGTAGTACTTTCGGGCAGCTAGGTTGCACAGTGAATAGAGTTCTGGGCCTGGAGTCAGGAAGACCTGAGTCCAAATCCATCCTCAGATACTAGCTGTGTGACCCTGGGCAAGTCACTTACTCCTGTTTGCCTCAGTTTCCTCATCTGTAAAATGAGCTGGAGAAAGAAATGGCAAACCATTCTAGTATCTTTGCCACGAAAACCCAAGATGGGGGTCGCAAAAAGTTGGACATGATTCAACAACGACAACAACAACAAAAGGTGCTTTTACCACTATACAGTGGTTCAGGCAAGGCATTATGCTGAGCTAGGGTGCAGGTTCCTGCCCTTAAGTAAGTATTGCGAGCATACAAAACAATATATCAGCCCTCCAGGAGTTCATGCTATTGAGGCACACCTAAGTTATCTGGCATTCAGTAATCACTTCCATGCCTCCTGCTGCACACATTTTACATGAATGCCTCAGTTGCTCTTGTAAAATGATAGCCAGAGGAGGGGTCAGGGACTTAAGTAGCATCATTCCGTCATAGTCCACATCTGAAGACCTGTTTAGTTGGAAGTATTCATCTGTGGCATCTGGGTGCTTTCCGAATCTAATCACTTTCTCCTCTCCTCCCCCTTCTCTTGCAGTGCTTTTGTACGTGAGGAAAGAGACTGACGATGTGTTTGACGCTTTGATGTTAAAATCGCCCACAGTAAAAGGACTAATGGAAGCGGTAAGCAGTGAGCCCTTTTCAACAGCCAGGAAACCTCATCATAGTTTTCTTAACTCAAAACCATTTCTCAAAATGCAGCTTTGACAATTTCTTTGGAAGATATTTTATCAGCAATATTGAGCTTTGTAGAGACTTTGCTTTCTCCCATCTATAGAGAGGGAGAAATGACAATCCCCAAATATTTATGCAGGACTATTGAGAGAATGTTTTGATACAGAATATGATCAGACAGTGAGTTTGCATGTGCTTGTTTACAAAAAACAAAGCAGATGCATCTAGTTTTAAGTCAATTCAACAGACATTTAATTAAACCTCTATCTATAGGGCTACTATCTGCAATCAAGTCAGGTAGTGAGGCAGTGCACCATAATGAATAGACAGCTGGAGTTGGAGATGGGAAAATTTAGGTTCATATCCCATCCCTGACACCTGCTTGCTGTATTTAACCTCTCAGTGCCCTAAGTGACTCTCTAAATGTATAAATTGCAAGGCTGGTAAAGATCTTTATTAATAGAGGGAGTTCCTCACTCTCTACCCTGATGAAATCACAAATCCAGTAAAAAAAAAGTATAGAGCATAGTGATAAGCACTATGCTAGTCTCATAATAAATTCACGCATACAGAAGGAACTGTAACACATACTAAGTATGTTAGAGAGCCACAAAGCAAAATACTCTTGCCCAAAAAGCAGGACTGAGGATAACTTCAGGAAGGATGCAGTCTTCACTTGAGTTGACTTTCCAGAATAAACAAGAACTCAAAGATGAGAAGGAGAGGGAGTAGAGTTCAGGCAGAGGGGAAACAAAGGCATCAAGGAAGGAGAGCCTTGGGTGTGTTTGGGGTGCAGAGAGCTGTCTGCATGCATCTGGGGTACATGGCAGGTACTAAGACGTGGTAAGGCTAGAAAATCAGCTATGTCAGATTGTCACATTATTGTGACATTGTCACAGCTGTGTCACATTATCTGTGAGACCACTAAAGATTTTTGAGCAGATGTTTGCTTCATTTTTTGTTTTCATGTCCTTTTTTAATGGAAAAAGGAGTTGACATTTGAGGAAGAGAGGGAAGTTAAGCATGGAGTGGCCAATAAAATAGAAGAAAAGAGAGTTGTACCATTAGATTGTGAGCTTCTAGAAGGCAAGGTTTGCTTGTTTTTATCCCCAGCACTTAGTACAGCGTCTGGCACAGAGTAAGTGCATAATAAATGCTTGTTGACTTCATTATATTGAAACATTTTTAAAAATCATCTTCATAGGGGCAGCTAGGTGGCGCAGTGGATACAGCACCAGCCCTGAAGTCAGGAGGACCTGAGTTCAAATGTAAACTCAGACCAAACACTTGACATGTACTAGCTGTGTGAGCTTGGGCAAGTCATTTAATCCCAATTGCCTCACTTAAAAAAAATCATCTTCATGCATCCTCCTGCTTTAGTTATTTCTGTAAAGTGTGATTATTCACACAAAAACATAGACAAGCAGAGCAGCTTTCAACAAAAATGTGGAATTTTATTTATTTTTTTTAAAAAGTAAGCTGTTTGCATTTTCATGTGTAACCAGTCCTCTTTTTATATTCTACTTTGCCTATGGAAATGTTCTTTTGTGGTATTCATTAATTTTAAAATAAAAAAATATATATAAAATTGCTATTGTATTGTAGGGAATCCAGGTCAGTTCTAGATGAAAGTGCAAAAGAACTCAGTTCACATCCCTTCATGACAAACTTAAGGAGTCATTCCATATGCTTTGTTCCCCCATCCCAGTGTTTTAGATATTCCTTGAAACAATGCCTAGAACCTGAAAATCTTTTAGTTCCTCAGAGATTTTTTTGAATTGGTCTCTGTTATAACAGGAGGCAACCCATGTAATAAATAATAACATCCTGAAAAGATCAACCTCTGAGTAGCTAGGATAAAAAAAAAGTTGCTCAAAAATCTTTAGTGGTATGGGGCAGTTAGGTGGTGCAATGGATAGAGCACCGGCCCTGAAGTCAGGAGGACCTGAGTTCAAATCTGAACTCAGGCCAAACACTTGACACTTGCTAGCTGTGTGACCCTGGGCAAGTCCCTTACCCCCAATTGCCTAAAAAAAAAAATCTTTAGTGGTCTCACAAATGATGCCCTCCACAATGTGACATAACTGATTTTCTAGCCTTACCACATCTTAGTGCCTGCCACGTACCCAAGAGGCAGGCAGGCAGGTCCCCACACTCCAAACACACCCAAGTTTTTCCTCCCTTGCTGCCTTTGTTCACATTTTCCCCTCTGCCTGAACTCTACTCCCTCCCCTTCTCACCTTTTAATTCTTGCTTATTCTTATATAAAGATACTTTTGTAGTCCTTAAAGCTGTGTCTTCTAACTGAATGTGGATGGCATTTGGGGCATCCCTCATGCACATTACTAGATTAATTCCAAAACTAATTCACAACCTTTGAATTCTACCTCTGTCTTCTAGGCTTCTACTTTCTCCCAAAGCTCTACAACACTTGTGCATTTTGTAGCAATTTTCCAAATAATCTGTCTATGCTGGATGCTGATGAAGCAACTGAGGGAGGCCTTCTTTTGGGAGGTGAAGTCACTTGCCCAAGAGTCAGATGTGCAATCTGAACCCAAGTCCTCTGACTCCAGGGTCTAGTACACTCTCCCTCCCTCCCTCTCTCTCTCTCTCTCTCTCTCTCTCTCTCTCTCTCTCTCTCTCTCTTCTCTCTCTCTTTCTCTCTCTGTCTCTTTCTCTCTCTGTCTCTTTCTCTCTCTCTCTCTCTCTCTCTGTATATATATATATATATATATGTATGTATGTATGTATGTGTATATATATACACACATATATAATTTTAATTAAGAAAAATTCACCTTCTCTCTCTAATACTCCGACCCTACCTTCCACCCTCATTGAGAATGAAAGAAAAACAAAATCCCTGTTAACAGACATGTGGATAATCAAACAAAACACATTTCCAAGTTGATATCATACCTCATAACTTCTTACATTTTCTTCTTTTTTTACAGTCTTTTGAATTTATTTTTTGTTGTCTCATAGAATCACTGGCTTCTATTCTAATAATAATACTATTCTAATTCTTCCATTCTAATTTTTAGGGAGTTTGTTATTTGGGCAAGGCTTTGCAATTCTTGTGCTAAGTAAGATATTAATTCTCTTTCCAATTCTTCTGTTAGCTCTCTTGTCTTTTCCAAATTTTTTCTAGTGCTCTCATTTCACTTATAAAAATATTTGTAACTCTTTATCAAAAAAACCAATGTGCTTTATCTCTTCCAGGAATTGCAGTTAAATTTGTGCCCAAGCTATATTTTTCTCTGAAGCTTTGCTTGTAGATGTTTTGGAGTTGACCTCTTCTTCTGAGTTTATGTGTTGAGCTTCCCTATCACCATAATAGTTTTTGATGGAGCATTTCTTTTGTTTGTTTGTATTTTTGGTCATTCTTCCAGCCTATGCCCTAAATTCAGACTTTGTATGAAGGTCAGACCCTGCGTACTTTTTGAAGGAATTTCTGGGTTGGTCCTTTAGCTTCTTTCTTGGGGTGCTGAGTGCTCTCAAAGACGGTCTAACCTGGGAACCTGCAAGCTTTCAGCGCTCCCAAAGTGGTCTGCTCCGGGGCAAAGTCGGATTGCTGCCTCCCTGGTTTCAGCTCTGCAAGTTCCTGGCCTGGGTTTGGATCTGAGCAGCTAGTTCGGAGTGACAGAACTGTAGACGCTGGGATTCTTGCCCTCATTATTTCTCTGCCACACTTCTGCCACTTACTTCCAAAATTGCCCCTTGCTCAGTTTACAGGCTAAAGCTTACCATTGTTTCTCACGCTGGCGTGCCACCCCTGGGCAATGCAGTGCCCTTCCTCAGCCTACCCTGGGTTTGTGCCTTGGAACTGGGTGCTGGATGATTGGTAGAGTTGGAAGTTGGCATCTGTTCCTGTCACAGGGCCCTGGTATGGGTCTGGGAGCTACTTTTTGTTCTGGTGCACAATCTTGCCCTGTGTTGGAATGTTTTCCATGGTCCCATGCTCCTGCCTAAACTCTTTCTCCAGTGTCTGTAGACCTCTCTATCTTCCTGTGCTGACCTGGGCTGGGAGAATGATTCATTGACTTTTTCTGGGTTTTCCCTCATTAGGATTTGGTCTGGTGCATTTTCAAGATCTGTTTGTAGAAGTTTGGGAGAGAGCTCTCTGTATTTCTTTCTGCTTCTTTACCATCTTAGTTCCACCTTACCCCTTCTATGCTACCATGCTAACTTACCTAAAATGCCCTAGTAGTAACTAACAGAACCAGCGTTCAAACTCAGGGCCTCTGATTCTAACCCCCTTGTACCATATTGCCTCTTTTAATACAGGGAAACACTGATAAAGAAAGCCTCTACCTCACAAGACCTACGTGATGAATCTGATTTTGTCTTTCCTCTGTGGCTCAGTAGTCATGACGTTCTGGTTTAGTGGTTCATTATTCTTGGTCCTGCTTATTAATTCCTACTTAGTCGTGATGGTGCTCAGAACAATGACATACTCCCAAAGAAACTGACAAAAGACCTATCTAGTAACTAGTTTTCTTGGCAAATACCCCTAAGAACCAAGTACTTGGTTCTTAGGCTTTCCTTATTATTCCCCCACCATCTTCCAGTGCCCCACCTAGGCAGCCAAGCTAAATGACTGACTAGAACGAACCTAGAGGACCTGCTCCATGATGCGAAGTTTCCAACACAGGCTTAGGCTGGCATAGGAGCCCCTTAAACTCAGTAAGAAGAGATGTGACAGATTACTAATCCCTTTCCCCAAATGGGATAAAAACCCCGGATATTCATGTCATGGCAACTGGAAGTGGATAGATGATTGGACAGGTACATGGCTGGACCCAACAGATGTAGAGGACTTAACTAGAGTTTGTTGATTGATTGATTGATTTGTAAAGTGAGGAGATTGGACCCAGTGACTTCTGAGGTCAGAAGTAATAGGTCTATGATCCTGTCACTATAATCATCCAGGCTTACATTTTGTAATCTATAAAATGAATAGGTTGCACTAGATGACCTCTAAGCTTTCCTGAGAGTCCTAAATCTATGATCAACATACATATGGTATTGTTTTATGAATTTTCGATTACATGCTTTGAGTATCCTCTCAGTGTCTGGATTTCTCATGACATTTGGTGTTCCTTTGGACTATAAGTTTGAAAAATGAGTTGTTATTTTTGTCCAGACCTCTAATTTCCTTGATATAGGGAATTCCTGGTGAGAAAACTTTTCACATCAATGTCGATGACATCTACTTTATATTTCATAGTCTTAGAGAGTTGCCTGAGGGTACTGAAAAGTTAAGTGACTTGCCTAAGGTCACATAGCCAATATGTGTCTGAGAGACTTGAACCCAGATATTCCTGATTCCAAGGGTGACCTTTTTTTAATTTTTTAAATAAAAAAAAATTTTTTTTTTGACTAGGCAATGGGGTTAAGTGATTTGCCCTGGGTCACACAGCTAGTAAGTGTTATGTGTCTGAGGCCAGATTTGAACTCAGGTCTTCCTGAATCTAGGGCTGGTGTGCTATCCACTGTGCCACCTAGCTGCCCCCACAAGGGTGACCTTCTATCTACTACACCATGCTACCAGTAACTATTTTTATTGGATTACATAAACTCATGATAATTTACCTTATCAGTAATCACTGCATAATTTGTATTAAAATTTTAAATGTGGTGCAGTGGATAAAGTGCTGGGCCTGAAGTCAGGAAGACTCATCTTCCTGAATTCAGATCTGGCCTCAGACACTCACTGGCTCTGTGACCCTGAGCAAGTCACTTAACCCTGTTTGCCTCAGTTTCCTCATCTGTAAAGTGAGCTGGAGAAGGAAATGGCAAACCACTGTAGTATCTTTGCCAAGAAAACCCCAGATGGGGTCACAAGAGTAAGACATGACTGAAGTGACAACAAAAATAATGATAATTACAATTGGCATTGTCCAAAAGATTCTGTTTTTCCTTACTCCGTTTTACAGACTATGCTCAGGTTAAAAGTTACAGAAAGATCAGATCTGTAGAACTGATGGCGATGTTTAAGCTCTTACTTCAGACTTCTGAGGATAGTGAAGAGCTTCCATGAAATTTTGCAGGGGGCTCCAAGTAGCCATGAACACTAAGTATTTGCTGACAAACCGAGAAGAAATATGAGCCCTCCTGAGCAGTGGCTTTTATCTCATTATTGGCTGTAAGTAGGCCAAGAGCTAGAAATTTACATCAGAGCCTCACATCAAAACAAAGCAAAATTGCACTCTCAGCCAAATTTTGCACCAACCCATTTTCAGTAATAGACCATAGGGCAAATTTGACAACCTGAAGTCTATGAATCTGAGCTGCTGAGAGAGGAAATGATGAAACAGTGAACAGAATTCCCATGGTAAACATCCAGAGTATATCTAGATAATTTAAAGGTGTTTCAAGAAAGGCTGAACTGTGCTTTAAACTATCACTGTGAGGGAGCCTAGTTCTTGCTTGGGAAAGCATTCACATCAAACTACTGACCATCAAACTCATATTTTGTATTTGCCTTGAATTTATTGACCTGGACTATCAGCACTTTGTTTCTCTTCATGAAGACAGTTAATTTGATTACACCTGCATGAAAAAAACAAAGATCCTCAATATACACCAGTAGTAATTGGAGGTAGGGGGAGGGGATATTGCATTGAGTGCAGTCCCAAGCAGCCATAGCATCTGTCCTACACTTAAGAAAGATTCTTCTCTAACATACTAAGATTTCACTCTTATAAAAAATGTGAATAATGTTATTTAAATTTCAATACTTGAATGGATTTCTGACTACATCAATGCATATACTGTCTCCAAGGTGCAGATTACAATTCATCCATACCTTCTCCTCTTCTTGTCCATCTTTAGGTCTATGGTGCTTTTGCCATTTGTCCCACCCTCTCCAGGACTTACCATCTGCCCTGCCTCTGCTCTCTGAAGCTTCTTGGCACTATTATTTGGCTTAATTATGAGGCCAAATGCCTTTGGCTCTTGCCATCCACCCCACTGCTTCACCATTAGGACTTCCAGGCTTTTTCATCTACCCTACAATTGAACTTTCTTTTAGGTGTTGTTTCCCCCAAGTATAATGTGAGTTCCTTGAAGGCAGGAACTATCTCAATTTTTCTATTTGTCTCCTCCAGCACTTTGCACAGTGCTTAGCACATAATATTTAAAAGTGCCCCTTCCTTCCTTCCTTCCTTCCTTCCTTCCTTCCTTCCTTCCTTCCTTCCTTCCTTCCTTCCTTCCTTCCCTCCTTCCCTCCTTCCTTCCCTCCTTCCCTCCTTCCTTCCTTCCCTCCTTCCTTCCTCCCTTCCCTCCTTCTCTTTCAATAAACCCACTCAAACAACATTTTTGTTCTCTACGTCTTTTTAACATTACATATGTATCAACACATCTGCCATCTCTGCTTACTACATTACTGGACTACTTCCTTTTCTGATTGTATGTTGTCTATTTCTGTTTGATGTCATTTATGCTGTTATATATTATATATATTATGTGTGTGTGTGTGTGTGTGTGTGTGTGTGTATACTCAAGATCTAAGATAATCTGGTCTAAGTTCCCTTCCTGGGCTTAATCCTGTGGCATTGGCTTCAGCATTACAACCAAGATATTGGTGTATTCAGGATAGTATTTCTTCCCTAGGGAGAGGAGATTGACTCACCATGACATCAGCAGTAGATTTGAATGATGTTGGGGGCTGGGATTGGAGTGGAGTGTCGTGGTGGGGATGTAATTAATCCTGTATATGCTAGCAAGAGGTGTGGGATGTTTCAGCCTGTGGACAGTTCCCAAAGAAGACTCTAGGAGGCTTTTACTTCTCCCTGACACAAAATGAGTTGAAAGTTCAACTGTTGGAAGTAGAGACTGAGAAGATGCCCTGGGGCTTTTCTCCCCTGAGACCTTAGTTGAGTGATTTAAATTTTTCACTTTCTCTGGCCCCAGGGCTAAATAGCAAAAAGTAAAGCTGATTGAGAATGTCTCATTAAGTGAAGCCTGTTGACACCTAAGTAGGGGTCCTAGTGGAAGGAAGTCAAAAGGTCTCATGTTGGACTGCAATCTCTCCCCTACTTACTTATTTTCTGTCTTTTGGTATTTACAGATATCTGAGAAATATGGGTTGCCAGTAGAGAAGATTGCAAAACTTTACAAGAAAAGCAAAAAAGGGTAAGGAAAAATATGATCACTTTTCATGAAATCTCTCCCTTCCACCAAACAAACAAAAACAACAACCGAACTCTCTCTCTCTCTCTCTCTCTCTCTCTCTCTCTCTCTCTCTCTCTCTCTCTCTCTCTCTCTCTCTCTCTCTGTCTCTCTCTCTCTCTGTCTCTCTCTCTCTCTCTGTCTCTGTCTCTCTCTCTCTCTCTCTCTCCTCTGTCTCTGTCTCTCTCTCTCTCTGTCTCTCTCTCTCTCTCTCTCTCTCTCTCTCTCTCTCTCTCTCTCTCTCTCTCTCTCTCTCTGTCTCTGTCTCTGTCTCTCTCTCTCTCTGTCTGTCTCTGTCTCTCTCTCTCTCTGTCTCTCTCTCTCTCTGTCTGTCTCTGTCTCTCTCTGTCTCTCTCTCTCTCTCTCTGTCTCTCTCTCTCTCTGTCTCTGTCTCTGTCTCTCTCTCTCTGTCTGTCTCTGTCTCTGTCTCTCTCTCTCTCTCTCTCTCTCTCTCTCTCTGTCTCTGTCTCTCTCTCTCTGTCTCTCTCTGTCTCTCTCTCTGTCTGTCTCTGTCTCTGTCTCTCTGTCTCTCTCTCTCTCTGTCTCTGTCTCTGTCTCTCTCTCTCTGTCTCTCTCTCTCTGTCTGTCTCTGTCTCTATCTCTCTCTCTGTCTCTCTCTCTTCTCTCTCTCTCTCTCTCTCTCTCTCTCTCTCTCTCTCTCTCCAAATTAACCAGGCAGGATGCCTAGGGCACTGGACTTGGAGTCAGGCAGATCCAAGTTCAAATCCTGCCTCAGGCACTTACTAGCCATATGACCTCAGGTAAATCACTTATATGTTCTCTACCTCAGTTTCCTCATCAATAAAAAGATGGAGTTGGATTTAATAGGCACCAAGGCCCATTTCATCTGTAAATCTATGATCCTATGAGTCCAGGTTTGTTTTCTATGTAAATCTGTTGTCCAACAGTGCTCAACATTTTTTTGTTTCCATTTCCCATGGTAGCAGAATTACTGGGGTGGGGATGTGTTGTGCAAGTCTCCAAAAAGAGGAGAGTATCCCTGTTATGAGCTCTCAAGGCAAGGTGAAGAAAAGAGACTGTAGTAGGTTTGGAGGGGAAATGGAAGAAGACAGGGCTGTACTGGGGAGCTCTATTCCCGAGGGCATTGTAGGTCAGTTCAAGAGCAAGGCTGGTAGAGTTGGTCGGTGGAAGTATAGGTGTGCTGGTAAATGTTTAACAACCCATTTGCCAAAAATACAGGAAATATTTTTAAGTTTAATCTGCATTAATAACATTTTCTCCATCTCCTTCTTTGATCTAGACAATCAACAAATTAATAAATCAAACCTGCTTTGTAGTTTGCTGATTTCCAAGGTGTAATGGCTCATGCTAAAAAATCGATAATCTTTAGCTCGTGTTTGGGTGAAAGGATAGGTAGGATGAGAAAGTATTCCCCAAATATTGTTTCCTGGACCTTTTTCTTGAGAGGGAGGAAGAAAGGAAGGGAGGGAAGGAGGGAGGGAGGGAGGGAGAGAGAGAAGGAAGGAAAGGAGAAAGAGAGAGGGGGAAGGATCTATTAAATGATTTTAGGGTAGGAGTTCTTAACCTTTTTTGTGACATCATCACTATACCTACCATTTATGTAAGGCCTACTATGGGCCAGGCACTATGCTAAGTGTTTTATAAATATTCTTTCATTTTATCTTTTCAATAATCCTGTGTTGTTTATAACTCTGTGCTACAGTTGAGGAAACTGAGGCAAGCAGAGGTTAAGTGACTTGCCCAAGGTCGCACAGCTAGTAAGTGTCTGAGGCGAGATTTGAAGTCACTTCTTCCTGGCTCATTAACCCCTTTGGGAAGCCTATGGAGCCCTTTTCAGAATAATGTTTTAAATATATAAAATATAATACAAAGGCAAACAATTATATTGAAATAACAGTTATCAATTTTTTTTTCAACAAATGAGTTTCCAGACCTCAAACTATCAACCCCTGTTTTAAGAGAAGAGATAGAAGGTACTAAAGCTTCCAAGCCTTAATTGTGAACCTTTAGGAATCTCACAGGAGGACAAGCAAAGCAGGTCTCATGGGTAATAAGAGGTCATTTTGTTTTGTTTCATTTTGGTTTTTTTGGTTAGGCAATGGGGTTAAGTGACTTGCCCAGGGTCACACAGCTAGTAAGTGTTATGTGTCTGAGGCCAGATTTGAACTCAGGTCCTCCTGAATCCAGGGCTGGCGCTCTATCCACTGCGCCACTTCGCTGCCCTATAAGAGGTCATTTTGCATCTCCAAAATTCCTTCCCTTGTGCTGAGCCCTCGGATTCCTTCACAGCTGCCAATCTTTCCCCCTTTTCTCCAGCATCTTGGTTAACATGGATGATAACATCATTGAGCACTACTCCAATGAGGACACCTTCATCCTTAACATGGAGAGCATGGTGGACGGCTTCAAGATCACTTTGATGGAGATCTGACTGACCCTGCAAGCCCCCTCTGCAGGAACCGTCAATGCATTTCATCCCCAGAAAAAAGCATGCCCCACCCCACCCCCAAGAACCCTGCAGACCCAAGTCACCCATCTGAGAAATGCTGTTACAAGACTGCTTTGGGGAGGGGAAACAAAGGAAAAAATGCCCTTTTTAGTGTTGTGGGGCCTTTTGGCTCATTAATCAGGTCGCTGGGGCAGAGCTGAAGGAGGCCTGGTTTTCTGATAGAACCCTAGCTGGGAAGGCACCTCTAGCCCCTTGGCTCTTTATTTATTGCCCACCACTATCCAGAGTCAGCTGGTGCCTGGGCTCTATAGGTCATTCCTGGGTATGGAGTGACCCATCTTCAAAATGAGGTAGTCTAGGGCCTTCCCCACTGAGGGAAAAGCATCGCTTGGTTCAGCTGGGGGAGGCTGGAACGTTTTAGTTATTCCCCTTTCCCCCTGCGTGGCTGGACAAAGTGGGCTACTCCATGGTAGAATTAACCCAGGTGGTGCAAAGAATCCAACAGTTGCATTCGCCAGTCAGAAACCCCCTTTCTTTGCCCTGGGGAAGGCAGTCTTGTCAAATACCTCTGGAAGCTCCCAGCAAGTGGCCCACAGGGACTTGTACAGAAAGATGTTCAGCTACCATGTAATTTGTAAGTGACCTGAAAAGTATGCCTCTTTAGCATCTGTACATAATGTTTATAATATTGCAATAATATATTTTACCTACTGTATGTGGGCACGTTTACTGCCACTGTATTTGGGGGGTGGGGTGCATGCCCTGAGGTTCGCCTTTCTTCAAGAGCTTTCATCCTGCCCCTCCCCCAGGGATGGTGTTGGGCAGCAGATGTGGCCTGAAGTTGAGTAGGGTTCCTGGGCTGTGAGCCCAAGAATTTGCTGCCAGTGGATGAGCTAGTCTCTATGCAGCCTCTCCCCTGGGACTCTTTCCCTGTCCTCAGGGAGTTCCCCTTCCCTAAGCATTACTATGTTCCCTTTCACTGGACCTATTGCATGCACCCACTGATTATGTTCTTTCATGTCCCCTTACTACTGGGTCTCCTTGTCCCTTTCCAGTGTGCTGATGCCAGAAACCCTGCAAGCATGTGGGGGTCCCTCACAGTACCAACCCCATGGCCCATCAAGTCACTGCAGGGTTTGTACCAGACTGTAACATGCTATTCCATGCGCCTTATTGGTTGATTTTTTTCATTTAAATTAGCCATGTTTTTTATCATTGCCCAGGAGTCCTTATTCCCGGGGCCTGACCACCAGAACAAGCTCTTAGGTGTAACTGGACCTCGTCAACACAGGCACTTGTAAGGGTTAGATTTAACTCTGTCTCCTGCCATTGGCATCAGATGCTACGAAAGTGAGTGAAACTATAAAGGTCCCTTTACCTCCCGAGCTGTACTCTTTTACTCTGGGAATCCTTTTCAAAAACAATGATGCGGTCTGGGGAGAGAGCGCCTGGGAAATTAAGAGGAAGAGAAACGTTTTGATAGATGCTCTCTTAAAACAGCAAGCAAATCTGAGCATGTGCTTCAGTAAACATGCTCTCTGTGATTGGCCGGAGAGTCCAGAGCACTGAACTCCTGGAATGAGGAGAGTGGACTTTGTGTCCCCGGTACGAACTTCTTAGTGTTCCCCCTGCCTCAGTTTCCCTTTGTCTGGCCACTGGATGCCACACACGAAGCACTTCGAGGTCTTCACTGGAGGGCACCCTGGATTTCAAGTGCTGGTAATGGGCATTGCAAGCCAGTACAATGAACCATACCTAACCCCTCCACGGAACTGCCCCAAATCTGCATCCTGATCCTCTCTGACCTGTCTTCTGCTCCCACTTAAGTTTTCCCAGTTGGAAAGTCTCCCAGTCCGGCTTGCTTCTCTTTTATCAGGGAACAATATTGAAAAGAGCACAGATTGTGCCTAAGAATGGGGAGTGGGTAGACAGGAAGATAAGGTGATAACTCAGCTTTCTGTGTTTCCCTTGCAAACCTGTTAACCTTTCGCTGTGGCCATCCAGAGAAAGGAAAAAAAAAAACCTAATCAAGCATACCACTATATCCTAGACAGATTCATTTACACAGCAGGTCATATCACATCCTCCTTTTTCCCTGGTGACTTTGATGTCACTTAACACATGAAGCTGACTGATGCCACACCTGGTTCGTCTCACCAAGAGTACTTCTAAACCTATTGATGAAAAAAAATCTCAAATGAAAAAAGATATGATTTTTATTTCACAAGCTCCTTGAGAGCATCCATATAACTTGTCTGCATGAATGTTTAAGTCCCAAACTCCTGGGAGCAGCACTAGCTTTGTCCTAGCCACTGCAGGCATTTTAGTGACTACTTTCTTGAAGGAGAATTAGAATCTACCTGCTATTTACCTTTCCCATTCTGTGGTGCAGACCTTGACTAGCCAGTTCTAAAATGCCATCTTCTGGTACCACTACAACCACTAGCAACCATCAGGGATGGTTTCCTGTTGGTGAGAATGTGGCCCAGAACACTACAGTAGCTATTCTTGGATGAAAATTTGTATAACTTGTTCCCCAAAGAAATAGTGACCAGTGTGTCTTCAGAGGTTCTGAGTGGGTCCACGGGCTTGTTCCATTACTTTCCCTAGACATCACAGCATGTTACAGGCAGCCATCAGCATCCAATCCCCTCCCCTCCCTGCTTCCATCCCACAGGCCCTTCCCTCTTCTCCATGCCCAGGCCTCTCTGCTGCTTCCTCCTCTAAAGGAAAAGCTCATGGACTAGTTTGGATGTGCCTTTTACGGAACACATTAGCAGTGCTTTGATAAATTACAAGTGTCAGAAATTAACGGGCAAAAAGCACTCCAGAAACACAGAAGAACTTGACCCTTCTTCCTGTCTTATTTGTCACTTTCAAACAGACACTAAGTTTTTGATCAATGGACCATGGAGGCACTTGAAGCAAGTGCTTAACTTGTTTACGCTAAGCTGTTTAAACCCATGCCACGGCGGGTTTGGAAATCGGGCTGTTGGGGAAATGCCGTCTGATTTTCCTTCAGAGCCATCCCCCAGGTGGCACCTATGCATTCATACCAGCCTCTGCAGAGATGCAGGATGTGGATGACATGGATGGAATGTTTAAATTCTTCCCTTTATTTAAAATTTCTCGAACTCAACAGAAACAGGAGGGTTTGTGCCAAATTCTGTGAAAGGCCCTTTCTTCATGGCAAGCAAAAGAAGCATTGTATACAATTTGCTTTCATGTTAAAAAAAAAAAATAAAACAGAACACACCAATAGCCTATGTAACTTAATAGTTTTGTAAATGGGAGAGGGGGAATCTATAAACTAAAAATACAATTATTTTATTTTTTGTACATTTTTAAGAAGAAAAATAAATATTCATAATGTAAGAGTGAACAGCAGCGTCTGGTGCTTTCAGTGAGGCCTTGGGTTCTTCAACCTGCCCCAGGCAGCAAGTAGTCATCTGTCACCAGACTTCCCCCAGGGGTGGCTCACAGCAGGGACATGATCAGGAATTTTCTCCTGAATGCTTCTCCCTGATGGAGTACACAGAACAGTCACTGAAGAAACTAGAACAAGTAGAAGGAGGCTCAGATACTGCCACTCCCTCATGTACGATCTCATCATATAGTTGTTTGTTTTGTTTTGTTTCCTTCTCTAAGCTGGTACCATGTCTTCTCAATTCAAAGACATTGGTCTTTTAATTTTATCATTTCCTCTCCATCTCCACCTCAGTAACTATTTAGTATCATCTCTTGCTGCTCTGCAAAGCTCCTCCCCTCCAGACAGGCTCCTATCCCAAATGTCCTTGATTTATATCTTGCATATTTCTGCCTCTCCCTCTTCTCTGACATGTCTATTCAACTCTTCTTTTGAACCCTAGCTCCAAATTCATCTCTAACAAGCCTTCTCCAAGAAATGTCACTTTCTTTTATATACATAAATTCAGTATTTAGTTATTTATTTTGAACAGTCTTTTCATATTTTGGATTCCAAATTCTCTTCCTCCCTCCCCCATCCTACCCACTGAGAAGGCAAGCAATATGATATCAATTATGCATGTGAAATCATGCAAAACATATTTCCATGTTAGCCCCATTTCAAAACAAGTAAGAAAAATAAAGTGAGAAATTGATACTTCGATTTGTACTCAGAGTTCATCAATTCTCTCTTTGGAGGTGGATAGTAATTTTTTCATCATGAGTCTTTTGGAATTGTCTTGGATCATTGTATTGATCAGAGTAGCCAAATAAAAAGTTTTTGATGTTATTTTATTGTCCATGGCACCTTCTAGTCAAATGCAGCTTCCCTGATCATCCTCTTTAACCAGGTCTATTTTTGTCCCCACCCCTTCTGAGACCATAACTGGTACTGCTACCCTCTTTTAGTTTAGCTGAAGCATATGTGACCTGGCTCCAGTCCTTTATTTTAACTCTGTGTGTGTCTTTCTGTTTCAAGTGTGTCTCTTATAAACAACATGTTGTTGGATTCTGGTTTCTAATCAATTTTGCTATCTGTTTCATTTTGTGGGTGAGTTCCTCACATTCACATTCACCGTTATTATTACTATTTATTTCCCTTTATCCCAATTTCTTCTGTTTCTTCTATCTCTTCTTATCCTGTCCCTCCTCAAAAGTCTATTTTGCTTCAAACCAGTGCCTCCTTTAACCTGTTCTTCCTTTTATCATCCTCTCCTTTTTTCTTATCCCCTATTTCCTTATTGGGTAGGTTACATTTCTATACACGTGTGTGTGTGTGTGTGTGTGTGTGTGTGTGTGTGTGTGTGTGTATACATACATACATTCATACTTACCTCTTTGAAACAATTCCAATGACAGTGAGGGTCAAGCATTACATGCCACCACCACCTCCATTTTTCCCCTTTGCTACAAAAGTTTTTCCTTGTGTACCTCTGCTATGTGATAAAACTTTTGCCATTATACCTCTTCCCTGTTCTCTCAATGCATCCTTCTTTCTCACTTCTTCATTTTTTGGAGATCCTTCCAACACAATCAACTCACATTCATGCCCTCAGTCTTCGTAAATTCCTTTTAACTGCCCTAATAATGATAAAGTTATTAGGAATTACATGTATCATCTTTCTATATAGGAATGTAAATAGTTGAACTTTATTGAGACCTTTATTATTACACTTTTATGTTTACCTTTATATGCTTCTCTTGAATATTGTGGTCGAATATCAAATTTTTTTATTTAACTCTGATCTTTTTTCAGGAATGCTTGAAAGTTCTCTCATTAAATACCCATTTCCCCCTGAAGCATTATACTCAGTTTTTCAGGGTAGTTTATAATTAGCTGTAATCTTAGCTCCTTTGCCTTCTGGAATATCATAGTCCAAGTCCTCCATTCCTTTAATGCTTTAAGCCTCTAAATTTTGTGTGATCCTGACTATGGCTCCATGGTATTTTAATGTTTTCTTTTTGGCTGTTCGAAATATTTTCTTTTTTACCTGAAAGCTCTGGAGTTTGATGTAGTATTCCTGGGAGTTTTCATTTTGGGATCTCCTTTGGAGGTGATTCGTGAATTCTTTTAATTTCTATTTTACCCTCTGTATCTAAGATATTGGGGAAGTTTTCCTTGATAATTTCTTGAAATATGATGTCTAGGCTCTTTCTTTGGTCATGGCTTTCAGGTAGTGCAGTAATTCTTAAGTTATCTTTCCTCAATTTATTTTCCAGTTCAGTTTTTCCAATGAGATACTTCACATTTTCTTCTCCTTTTTCATTCTTTTGATTTTGTTTTATTATTTCTTGATGTCTCATGAGGTTGCTTTCACTTGTCCAATTCCAGTTTTTAAAGGAATTTTTCCTGCAGTGAGTTCTTGTACCTCTTTTTCTATTTGCCCAACTGTTTTTTTTAATATAAATTTATTTATTTTTAGTTTTCAATATTCACTTCCACAAGTTTTTGAGTTCCAAATTTCTCACCCCTCCCCCCACCCCAAGATTGCATGCATTCTGAATACCCCTTCCCCTGGTCTGCCTTCTCTTCTATCTCTCCCCCCTCCCTTCTCTTATCCCCTTCCCCTTCTATTTTCCTGTAGAGCAGGATAGACTTCTGTACCCCATTTCCTGTATTTCTTATTTCCCAGTTGCATGTGGAAACATTTTTTTAAAAAACATGTGTTTTTAAAACTTTGAGTTCCAAATTTTCTCCCTTCCTCCCTCCCTACCCACCCTCGTTGAAAAGGCAAACAACTCAATAGGTTGTACATGTGCAGTTATGCAAAACACTTTCTTAGTAGACATGTGAAAAACTAACTCTATTTCCCTTAATCCTATCTTGCTCTCCCATTTATTCTATTCTTTCTTTTAACCCTGTCCCTCCTCAGAAGTATTTGCTTCTGATTACCCTCTTTCCCAATCTGCCCTCCTCTCTATCACCCCCCTACTCTCTTGTCCCCTTCTCCCCCTATTTTCCTGTAGGGTAAGACAGATTTCCATACCTAATTGAATGTGTATGTTATTCTCTCTTTAAGCCAAATCCTATGGGAATAAGATTCCCTCATTCCCTCTCACCTTCCCCTGTTCCCCCTCCACTGTGAGAGACTTTTCTGTTTTTTTTGTGAGATAATTTACCCCATTCTACCTCTCCCTTTCTTCTCCAAATATCATCCTGTCTCATCCCTTAATTTTATTCTCCAGATATGACCCCTTCATCTTCAACTCACCCTGTGCCCTCTATCTATCTATCTATCTATATACATAATACATTTTTTTTCCTTCAACTACCCTAATACTGACAAAGTTTCATGAGTTACAAATATCATCTTTCCATGCAGGAAAGTAAACAGTTCAATCTTAATAAGTCTCTTATGATTTCTCTTTCCTGTTTACCTCTTCATGTTCCACTGGAGTCCTGTATTTGAAAGTCAAATTTTCTATTCAGCTCTGGTCTTTTCATCAGGAATGCTTGAAAGTCCTCTATTTCACTGAATGACCATTTTTTTCCCCTGAAGGATTATACTCAGTTTTGCTGGGTAGGTGATTCTTGGTTGTAATCCTATCTCCTTTGCCCTCCTGAATATTATATTCCATGCTCTGCGGTCCTTTAATGTAGAAGCTGCTAAACCTTGTGTTATCCTGATTGTGTTTCCACAGTACTTGAATTGTTTCTGGCAGAGCTTGTAATATTTTCTCCTTGACCTGGGAACTCTGGAATTTGGCTATAATATTCCTAGGAGTTTTCCTTTGGGGATCTCTTTCAGGAGGAGATCTGTGGATTCTTTCAATTTCTATTTTGCCCTCTGGTTCTAATATATCAGGGCAGTTTTCCTTGATAATTTCTTGAAAGATGATGTCTAGGCTCTTTTTTTGATCATGGCTTTCAGATAGTCCAATAATTTTTAAATTCTCTCTCCTGGATCTATTTTCCAGGTCAGTTGTTTTTCCAATGAGATATTTCACATTGTTTTCTAATTTTTCATTCTTTTGGATTTGTTTATATGTGTCTTGATTTCTCATAAAGTCACTGTCTTCCAATTGCTCTATTCTAATTTTTAAGGAAGTATTTTCTTCAGTAATCTTTTGGACTTCCTTTTCCATTTGGCCAATTTTTCTTTTTAGGGCATTTTTCTCCTCATTGGCTTTTTGGACCTCTTTTGCCATTTGGGTTAGGCTATTTTTTAAGGTGTTATTTTCTTCAGTATTTTTTTGGGTCTCCTTTAGCAAGCTGTTGACTTGTTTTTCATGATTTTCTTGCATCACTCTCATTTCTCTTCCCAGTTTTTCCTCTACTTCCCTTACTTGCTTCTCAAAATCCCTTTTGAGCTCTTCCAAGGCCTGGGACTGATTCATATTTTTCTTGGAGGCTTTGGATGTAGGAGCTTTGATTTTGTTGTCTTCTGGTTGTATATTTTGATCTTCTTTTTCACCAAAGTAAGATAATATAGTCTGACTCTTTTTGCGCTGCTTGCTCATGATTCCAGCCAATTACTTGAGTTTTGAACTCTTTGTTAAGGTAAGAGTCTGCTTCCAATGTGGAGAGTGTACTGTCCCAAGCTTCAGGGGTTTGTGTAGCTGTTTTCAGAGATACTTGTAGGGACCTGTAAATTTTCAGTTCTTCCAAGGTGGTATGATAAGGGGCGAGGTGTTTACTCCTTTCCTGGCCTGTGACCACAAGTATTCCTTTCTGTCCCACAACTGTGAGGAGGGGTTCCTCTCCACAGCCAGTACAAGCTCCACCATGCCAGCGCTCCTCCTCACCCCAGCACTGCCGCCCAGAACTGTGACCCAGATCCAAACGCGGGCAAAGCAAGAGATTCCTGCCTCAGCACTGGCAAAGAGATCCCTGCAGTCCCTCTCTGGTCAGCCACTGGATTCCCCCTCAGTCTGTGGGCTGAAAGCTTGGGAAGCAACTGCCCCCCCCAGGGCCACGCTCTTGGGAAATGGAGTTGAAACCCCGCCTTCCTCTCTGACCACCGACAGAAACAGACTTTTCCCACTGACCTTCTAAGTTGTCTTTGTCATTGGTGGATTGAGGAATCTAGAAACCGCCACACCTGCCCATGATTCAGTCCTCTGAGGCCTGCTCCAGGTTTGCTGCAGCCTGTGCACCCACGCCGTGCTGTGCTGTGCTGTGCTCCCAGCCCGGTACGATATACCTTTCTGATCAATAATCCAGGTTGTCTTGGGTTGGAGATTTGTTTCACTCTGTCTTTTTGTAGGTTCTGCCACTTCAGAATTTGTTTAGAGCCATTTTTTATGAGCATTTGGAGGGTTTTGGGGGAGAGCTCAAGCAAGTCACTGCTTTCACTCTGCCATCTTGGCTCCGCAACCCCAATTCTGTTTTTTAAGAAGTTTTTATTCTTCAGAGAATTTTTGTACCTACTTTTCCATTTGTCCTATTCTGCTTTTTTAAGGATTCTTTTCTTCAGTGAAATTTCATGCCTCTTTTTACCATTCGGCCAATTCTGTTATTTAAGGTTTTATTTTCTTTGGTTGTGTGTGTGTGTGTGTGTGTGTGTGTGTGTGTGTGATATTTTTACAAAGCTATTAATTTCCTGTTCATAACTTTGTGTCATCATTCTCATTTCTTTTCCCAATGTTTCCTCTACCACTCATCTCTTTCTTTAACTCTTCCAGGAATTCTAGTTGGGCTGGGGTTCAATTAGCATTTTTCTTTGAGGCTTTGTAGCTATTTTCACACTGTTGTCTTTTTCTGAGTTTATGTCTCGGTCTTCCCTGTCACCATATTAGCTTTTTATGGTCAATTTTTTTTGTTGTTATTGTTGTTTGCTCCTTTTCCAGCCTATTTCTTAACTTTGAATTTTGTGTTAAAGTTGGGCTCTGTTCACCTGTAAGTGGGAATGCACTGTTCCAAACCTGAGGCTTTTTCCATGTGGCTATTTCCAGAGCTAGTTCTAGGTGTCTGCCAGTTTTTGGGGCTTCCAAGGTGGTGTGAAGTATGGTCACTGCTCTCCTGGCCTCTGCTCTTGTCTTTTCCAGGAAGGGCTCCTGGTCCCCTGCAACCATAAGCACTAGCACTCTCTTTACCTTGGAATTGTGACCAGGGCCGTTGCTTTCTTGTGATCAACCCGCAGTATTCCTCTCTCCCCTGTAACTGTGACCCAGAACTACATATGGGTAATAGAGTTTCCAATCAGTGCCAGATGTACCCAGTGCCAGCAAAGGGTGCCCTGTAATGTCTATCTGATCAGTTGTCTGCCCCTCTAACCATCTCTGGGCTGAGAGCTCCTGAAGCTGCTAATGCTACGTGTATGGGCTCCAGACAGGCTTCCACCTTGGTGTCAAAAACTTCTCCTGCTCACCTCCTAAGTTTTCTTAGGCCAGAAAAATGTCCCACCCTGACCTTTTGTTGGCTATGCCACTCCAAAATGTGGTTTGAAGCATTGCTTTATTGTTGTTTGTGGGGGAATATTGAGAGAGCTCAGCTGGATTGCCTCCAATCTGCCATATTGGCTCCCAGTAATATCACTTTCAATGGTATACCTAGCAGCCTTGGGTCGAGGGCAGTGAGTGTCAATATCACCAAATCAGAAATGGGCCATATTCACAGACTGAGGAATGCCATCTATATACTGCTAGAAATTTTGTGTGCCCTTTGAACCTCACAGCACGCCCGTGAAGTAGGTACTATGGATATTATCATACCCATTTTACAGATGAAAAATCTGAAGTTCAGAGAAGCTAAATGATTTGCTCCTAGTCACATAGGGAGCTAACTATCAGAGGCAGAACTGAACCCAGGTCTTCCCAACCCCAAGTTCAGCATTAAGCTGTGCTGTCTCACCTCATCCATCCTTTTAGAAAGGTGAATAGATTCAACACTCTCAGATGTGTAAGAGCCAGACAATTCCAGTCCCCTGCTTCTTCCATGTAGGTCACAGGTAGAGTAGACCGACTGGTATCTACTTGTCCCATCGCTTTCTGGTAGAAAAATTAGCATCTTGCTGAGGAGGATGAAATTTTCCGTGTTAATTCAGGGGGATGGAGTTTAGACATGGAGATCACAGGTTTTAGATGGTCTTATTAACCGTAAAAATGCATCAATGCCAGTCAAGATTTATGCATCTTCTATGAACATAGGGCCGACTCAGTGAGGCTATCAGCAGCTACCAGTTTGATTGAGTCTATTAGTAGTAGTAAATAAACTGCTTGATAATGCTGATGGGAGACTCTCCCACCCATCCCTTCCCACCCTCCCCCACCCCTGCCCCATGAGTAAAGCTGCAGTCATACACTCTTTGGAGACTTTCAAGTTGTAAGCCATTTTATTCCAGTCCCTCAAACATCACATATCATCTTTATTTTGGAGTGGACATTCTCCTTTTCCGAGATTCCAGGACACAGTAATGTTACTTAGCAGAAATATGATACAAAATCTCTTAGGCCTCAGTATGCTGATGTTCCTTTAACTAACTCAGTCCCATCGCAATGGATTAAATTACATACAGAGGACTGACTGGCAGCTCTTGGGATGGAGAAGGAGAAGATAGTCCATATGAACAACAGAAATAATCATTGACAAGCAAGGGAGAGAATGATTTCAATGCATTCAGTTGAGTGTATATAATCACCACACATCCAGTTATTTATTTCTGTCCTTCACAGTCAGAGATACCATGCTCTTCACTCCAGTACTGGGCTTCATTGGGGAAAAAAAAAACTATAATTTGGTAAGAGTCTGTGGCCAAGGAGGCATGGCCCAGACCTTTTCAATTATCTCTTTTAAAGTCCAATAAACTAATTTGATCATACCCTCTCCAAGAAAAACCAACAGGAGAAATTCAGTTCTAGGTTCTACAACTCTTAAACCAGGCAAGGCTGACATGGCCCCTCCATACTGGAAGCTAGGACAGATGGTGTTCATTACCCAGCAAGTGACTTGCTTATCTTAGCTACATCCCCATACAGAAACAGCAGGGTCAACTGAGTGATGGACACTGCCAATGGCATTTAATAAAACTCAGCCCTTCTCAGAGGGTCTCTGGTCAGTATACAATGAGGTGAGTGCAAAGGGGCCAGCTGCATTTCAGAACCATTCTTGGGTCAATGTTGCTCCCTCAATGTCATCACACCCCTCATTGTGGCATCGCTGTGGCTAGAATTGTTGTTGTTGTTGTCCTTCATTCTCAAAGAGGACCATGACATCAGGGAGGTGATGCCATGACATCAAAGTGAGTTGGATTTAAGTGAGGGAGGGCTGTGCAAAGTCACCAGCCTCACTTTCTCTTCCAGAGCCATCTGGGCCCAGTGGCAAGATTCAGTCAAACTGACACCTGCTAAATACCTTAGCTTAAAAAAAAGGCTAGAGTTTCTTTCTTTGGTAGCCCCTTCCACATAGTGCTCTGTAGAAGTAGAGATATAAACAGGGACGACACCTGTGATTTCCCTGATACAGAATTATCAGAAAGGAATCATCCTTTACCGATGCAGGCTGGTACCTTCTCTACAACTTGGGAGTCTGAAGAGGGTTGACTAGAGCACAAAGAGTTAAATGGCTTGCCCAGGGGCACTCAGCTAGTATGTGTCAGGACTTGAACCCACGTCCTCCTGACACCAAGGCCATCTCTCTATTTTTTGCAAGGCTGCCTCTCTGCATGAATGCCTAATACATCCTGTTTATTTAGCAGAGGTTTGGTCATTTTTTTAGCTAGCTTTGAAAGGCAAAAGGGTATAGGAAGAATATCATCTCTCCATCCTCTGTACGTTTAGGCAGGGGATAGAAACAAGGAAGGAGGTACCAGGCAGGACAGCAGGGCCCTGGAGTGGGAGTCAGAGCCATCCTCTGGAATACCCCTGCCTTCAGTGATGAGGCCTAGATCTGCCTCTGATTCAGAGGCCTATACTGTAGCCTGAGAAGGGATTGGGAAGGAGAGCTATGAGAGGCAAATACACTCATTGATTCATAACTAGAAGCTGAAAGAGGCAAATACATTCATTGATTCGTAAGTACTTCTGCAGAGTGATGAAAACAGAGCTCAGAGAAGGCCTCTGGTGAGGCCAGACTAATCCTCCCTTCAATGATAAAGCTCAAATGCCACCTGGATTCAAGCACTAAGGAAAGTGAGAGCCAAAGCAAACCTGGAGATTTCTTTCTGGAAGGCCTGGGGCTATCAGAAGGGTTGGGAGAACACAAAATTTCCCTTGTGAGATCAGGTCTTAATCTCCAGACTGGGATGAAGGAGAAGGGAAGACTGAGCCTAATTTCCTTTCACCTGTATGATCACATTAACAAGGAAAAAAAATCTAAAATCTTCTGTTTGGTTTTTGGAGTCCTTCCAAATCTGGCCCCTTCCTGCCCTCCCAGTGATGGGTCCTCTTCGAGATTGAAGGACAAACAACAACAACGCTTTATTCCCCTCCTGTCTTTCTTCTGTCTTCTTGCTATATTTCCTCCAGTGAGACATTCCATCTTACTCCTAGCTCTCCAAGTCTCAGATAAAGTCCCATGTTCTTCAAGGGATCCTTTTCTTGTCGTCTTTAATCTTAGTGTGTCTTCCCTTTGAGATTATCTCTGATTTATTCTGTCTTTATCTTGTTTGTCCAAAGTTGTTTGAATATTGTCTCTCTATTAGACTCTGGTGAGCTTAGAAGCATGAAATTATTATTATTTCTTTGCCTTTCTTTGTATCCTCAGAATTTAGCACACAGTGCCTGGCACATAGCAGGTGCTTAATAAATGCTTGTATAGAGCAGGTCAAGGTGGGATTTAAAGCCATCCAGCTAAGGCTCCCCAATATAAGGAAATAATTCCATGCAAAGAGACTTTCGGCTCATTTAAGCCAACAGCACAAATTTAGATTATTTTTTTTACTACCAGTTTTAATGGACTCTTGAATTGCTAATAATACAGGCTGGAGGTTATGCTTCTATGAGCTCATTGTATGGCTTTTTTTAATGTTTCCAAATGCAATGTCTCTACTTGCCCTCTGTATTTTCTGTTATAGAGGTGACTTCTGCTGGAGAACCAACCTGGGGACCTATCTGTTTCTTTGGTGGGCCATGCTTGATGTCTCTCCCCAAGAGCTCTAGTTACTAACCAATGAATCACTGTGAAGAATGATGCTCTTCCCTGCTGTTCATTGACATTTAGCACCTTGGGGTTGGACTCTAACTCTTAATCTGAAATTTAAAGGAACCAGTAGTTTGCATGAAAAGGGTAGAGAACCTGGCTTCACCTTGGCATGGGCCCTGAACCAAAACCAGCCTTCTGAGTGTATTTGGTAATGGCGAATGCTGCCTTGTTCATATCCCATCCATCACTCCCCTGGGGCCCTCTGCCAATCTCAGCAGCACCTCCAGATTCCTTATCAAAATAATTGGATGATCACCCCAGCCAAAGATACTGGGGACTGCATTTCAGGAACATCCCTGACTTGGTAAGATGTGTATCTCAAAAGTGTCACAGGTTTGGGTTTGAGGCTCTGGAAGTCCCAAAGGCATGTGCGCCTATGATTTTCTTCTTTTTGAAGGCATCAATGAAGCACTAGGTTTCCACTCCTATTGATTATGGTCCTGGTAATAGCCTAAGATTTCCATCCCTGTAAGTCTGAACTCCTTCCCTTTCCCAAGTATCCTTTACCTGGAAACATAAAATGAAGAACTGGGCCTTTTGATATATTCTTTTCATTTTTTAAATACACAAAATATACCTACTGACTGGCACATCTGGGCAGACAGAGTATATGACTTTAAAACACAACATGTCAGACATTCATTAGAGCTGGCTTACCTCATAATAAGCTACCAAAACAAAACAAAAACAGTCTTTTGTAGTAAGACCTTAAGAATGCTACCACCCTTTCCCAAGATCTCATTAGACATGCATCTCCCTTCAGCATTCCAGAATACTGTTTTTGTCTTCATCACCCATCACTGTATATTTACAACATTCTTATCTGTTAACACAAAGAGCGACTAGATACAGGCCTGGTTTTGGAAGATAGATTTGCGTTTATTTCCTCAATATAGTTATGTTATGTTGACTAGTATAGACCTGTCTTAAAAACCAGCTGAGTCATCTTGCCCTTGCTTTCTGCTTATTCACCGTGAGTAATGCTCACAGTTTAGACACTACAGCCCACATTGGAATTGGTCCATTATGGGTTGATTGTTCAAGCCTGTTCAGTGGCTGTGCCCTAAGGCTTAGGGTACAACTTGTTATTGGGGAACAGTCACCCACTGCATCTGTACTTGGAACGCTTAGGTGTATTCAGCAATAAACAATGGGGAAGGTTTTTTTAAATCTCTTTTTTTGATCTCTTTTTTTTTTAAATATTTTAAAAAATCTCTTAGAGCCCTCTGGCACGATGAGCCAAGGTTACATAGTTTTTGAACTCTGGCATCCATGATCCTTAGTTTAACATGTCTGTTAAACTAAAATAACAACAATAATAAAAACCCCTTAAAACAATGAACACCACAAAAACTGTGTAGAACAGTATTGTCCATGCTCTTGACAAGCAGATGAGAGCACTTGGCATTCCCATGAACACATCCACAAAAGAAGCTAAAAGGTGTCACAGAACAAGGAATATCTGGCCACACAGAGGCAACATCACCACCAATGTTTGGCAAAAAAAAAAAGGAAAAAAAAAGAAAAAAAAGCAGCTCTATAGAATTCATTCAGACAATGGGAATGGGGTTCAGAATTGGCCCGCGCTGCTAGGGTCACATTGCAGGAGACGCACTATGGAAGGATCACTCTTGGCTCCTCGGATGAATTCTTCCAGGGAGAGTTTGCCTGGAAAACAAGAACAAAATTTTAGATGAGAATGAGTGCTCTCTGTAATGGATTCTTAACATTTACTTCATAGTCAGCCCACCTACCCTGCTATCAGTCAATCAATAAACATATTAATCACCTACTGTGTGCCTAGTACTGTGCTAAGCCTGGAGATACAAAAAAAGGAAAAGATAGTTTCTTCCCTCAAGGAGCTTACAATCTAATGGCACAAACAATATGCAAATAAGTATATGCAAAGCAAGCTATATCCAGGCTACATAAGAAATAATTAACAAAGGGAAGGCAACAGATTGCAATCTTGGACCCACCATCTCGGTTGGTATCCATCTGGCGAAAGATCTTCTCTGTCCTTTTCTCTGGTGTTGACTCATCTTCGGGCATTTTCATTACTGAAGAAACCATCTTATAGATTGCCTAATTAACAAAAAAAAAAAAAGGAGAGAAAATTTAGGCTCATTGAGAGTAGGGACTGTTTATTCTTTGTATTTGTAGCATAGTGGTTGGCACATAGTAGGTGCTTAGTAAATGCTTGATGATTGATCATATGTTATTCAACACAGAAAATTACTAATATAACCACCTACCTCACCCCATAGTTGTGAAACCTTCTTTGTAAACCTTGAACTGCCACCTTGGACTCTTTCTCTATAGTTGAAAAGGATTGCTCCCATTTTTACCAAGGTTCAGACTTTGTTTTCATAGAAAGAAAGTTGCCACTGGGTAGGGACCAGTAGTATAGGTCATCTCAGGACATGAGGACATGAGATTAGGATAAAGATTGTTTGTTCCAGTTAGACAGAAAGTACAGTTTGGGAAATATAATGCTTGACTTGGAGTCAGGAGGGCCTAGGTTCAAATCCTGCTTGTGACTCTTACTAGCTGTGTGACCATGGTCAAATCACTTAAACTAAGCAGCATCTGTAAAAGTGGGGTTATAACACCTGTTGCATTCCCTTCACAGTGTTATTGTGGGGCTCAAAGAAAATAACATATGTAAATAATGTTGCAAATCTTCAAAAAAAATTTTATTTTCTGTTCTGAATTCTCTGTCTCCACCCTACCCCTCTCCTACCCACTGAGAAAGAAAGAAATATGATGCCCACAATACAAAGTCATGAAAAGCATATTTCCATAATAGCCATGCTGTGAAAGAAAAAACACACAAGGCAAATAAAGCAAGTAAAACAAAATGTGCTTCATTCTGTACTCAGAGTTCATCAGACTTCTCTCTGAAGGTAGATAACATTTTTCAGCATGAATCCTTTGGAACTGTCATGGATCATTGTATAGATTAAAGAAGTGTCTTTCACATTTGATTATCATTACAATATTGCTGTTACTATATACAATGTTTCAGTTCTGCTCACTTCACTTTGTATCAGCTCATATAAGTCTTCCCAGGTTTTTCTGAAACCACCTACTTCTTCATTTTTGACAGTACAATAATTTTCCATCACAATTATATGCTGCAACTTGTTTGGCCATTTCCCAGTTGATAGGCATCCCCTGAATATCCAATTGTTTGCCACCAAAAAAGGAGCTACTATAAATATTTCTGTACATACAAGTCCTTTTCCTTTTTTTTTAATATATTTTTGGGATAAAGACCTAGTAGTTGTAATATTGGATCAAAGGATCACAGTGGTATTACTGGGTCACAGCTTTATAGCTCTTTGGGCATAGTTCCAAATGATTCTCCAAAATGGTTGGACTAATTCACAGTTCCGCCAACAGTGCATTAATGTACCTATTTTTCCAAATCTCCTCCATCATTTGTCATTTTCCTTTTCTATCATGTTAAACAATAGGTATAGTTATAAGGTGGTTCCTCAGACTTATTTTAATTTTCATTTCTCTAATTATTAATGATTTAGAACATTTTTATATGACTACTGATAGTTTTGATTTCTTCTTCTGAAAACTGCCTGTCTCTATCCTCTGGCCATTTATCAACTGGGGAATGGCTCTTATTTTTATCATTTTGGCTCAGTTCTCTGCATATTCAAGAACTGAGACTTTTATCAGAGAAATTTGCCATAAAACTAGCCCCTCCTCCCAGTGTTCAGCTTTCCTTCTAATTTTTGCTACGATGGATTTTTTTTTATAAAAGCTTCTTATTATTTATTTGTTAATTTATTTATTAATCAATCAATTAATCAATTAATTATTTTTTTGTTAGGAATGGGGTTAAGTGACTTGCCCAGGGTCACACAGCTGGTAAGTGCTATGTGTCTGAGTCTGGATTTAAACTCAGGTCCTCCTGAATCCAGGGCCGGTGCTCTGTCCACTGTGCCACCTAGCTGCCCCCTTATAAAAGCTTTTTAATTTTATAAAATCAAAATTATCCATTTTACCTCCTATGATCGCCTCCTTCTTGTTTGGTCATGAGCTCTTCCCTTATCCCTTCCATCATCTACCAAGTAATTTTTCCTGATGTTCCCCTAATTTGCTTGTGATGTAATATTTAAATCATGGACTGATTTTGAGCTTATCTTGGTATACAGTATTAGATGTTGTCTATGCCTAGTTTCTGCCAAACTGCTTTCTAGTTTTCCCAGCAGCATTTTGCAAATCTTAACATACTATATAAATGCTAGCTACTACTTTTTGCCTTAGACTTATTCTTTGATGACCCTAGCAGTGAAAAAGCAACCAGGAAGAATCTTTCAGTTGTAAGGATGGCAGAATGGGTCAGAGGAGAAGGGAAGAACGGGGACAAGAAAGAGAAAGAAATTGTTAAGGTGACTTGGAGGTCTTTGAATTTGTGAAGACAGTCAGAAACTGAATTTGGGGAAAAGAAATTTGGGAAAACTTGAGGAAAATTTGACAGACTGACTTGCCAAAAAGAAGAAGGGCACATTCTAAAGGTAGACGACCTAGGGGAGAAAAAAAAGAGAGACTGAGTCTTCTCTAAGGAAAAGAATTAGAAAAGAAAAAGGTAAGGCATGGTAAATAAGAAAAGGTAACTAAAACAAATAGAAAAGACTGTATAAGTATTTATACAGACATAGTACAAAGAACTGAATATCAAGTGGATATCCATCAATTGGGGAACAAGTTCTGGCACGTAAATGTAATGGAATATTTTGGCACTCTAAGAAACAATGCATATTAAGCATAAAAAGACTCATGAACCACTGCAAAGTGACATAAGCTAAACCAGAAAAACAATATACAAAATGACTACAATGGTATGAATGGAAAGAACAACAGAAACAAAATAATTGAAATTGAATGAAAGAAATTATAACTAAACTTGGCCCCAATGAAGAGATATGAGAAAGTGTCTCATCTTCTTCTTTGAAGAAGTTGAGGAGAGGAGGGGAAGGAGTGAAGCATCACATATAATGTGAGACTTTTTCAGATGTGTGGGTTAGTTTTGACGAACTGTTTTTCCCCCCATCTTTTTGTTCTTTATTATAAGAAATGGTTTCCTGAGAGGGGGAAGGGCTACATTAGGAAATGTGGGCAATGTAAAAAAACAAGATACATGAAAAAGTATTCTTAAAAATAAACTGAGCTAGATTCTGTAATAAAATAGAGAAGGACAAGGAAGTTGTGTGTGGCTATGAAGTTGTTAAGGGGTAATAAAAAGGTTTAAAGATATAAAGATTTAAAAAAAGTAATAAAGGGGAAGTAATGAAGTGTAAAGGGGTGATAAGGGACACAAAGAAGTCATAAAAGGTTGTAAATTATCAGTAGGAATAGAGGGCATAGAGAACTTTGCAATGGCTTGCATTGAGTGCACAATGTTTTTGTTTCTTCTGTGGCCAAAGGATTGCTACCAGAGCTCTAAGTGGAGGCAACCTGATTACAGAGAGGGCTTTGCCAACCTGTGGAGAAAACTTCCCCAAACTTATCAAAACAGATGACTACTATCCCCTTCTTGTGATTCGCATGGGAATAAATGACACTGCCAAGGGGAATCTAGAAAGCCAAGGAAAATGAACTCTTGGGCAAGAAACTGAAAATTATAAGGGGCACAGGTGGTGTTTGCACCACTGCTACTCATTACAGGCCATGAATGAAGAAGAAAAAAAGCTGATTTTGGAGAACAACTAGTTAAAAAAAGTATTATCTGAGAATGGGATTTGGATTTCTGGACAATGGCTCAAAATACTGGAATAACAGGTTTCTGGCAAGGGATGGAGTGTAACAAAGGCTGGTACAAGTGTATTTTCCTGGTGTTTTGCAAATTTAATCAAAAGAACTTTAAACTGAAAAAAAGAGGAGAGGAAAAAAGTGCCTACATGAATCCAACTTTCTCTATACCATACAGTAGGGGTGCCAAACTCAAATAGAAACAGATCTCTGTTGGCCTTATATTGGCTTAAAAACCCCACAAATTAACATTATCCATCTTTTACTGTATTTTTGTTATTTTGTTAAACATTTCCCAATTGCATTTTAATCTGGTTTGGCCATGCTGGGAGTTTTGGGGGCTGTCCGTGGCCTGTGGACCCAAATTTGATACCTCTGTCCATAGAGGCAGGAAGAAAAGATATTGAGATGCTCAGAGCTTAGAGGAGCTACAAAATGAGTCTCATATGTCTACCTAAAAATACTGAAGCTCCTAGTTAAAGGATGTGTAACTCCTAGGTATCAGTGAGACATTGTACAATAAGAGCCAAGACTAAAATATAGTCCATACAAATATCTGGGTCAGATAGGTGGTGTAGTGGATAGAATGCCAGCCCTGGAGTCGAGGACCTGAGTTCAAATCCAGCCTCAAATATTTAGTAGTTGTGTGACTCTGGGTTAACCCTGTATACTCCAGTTCCTCATCTGTAGAATGAGCTAGAGAAGGAAATGGTAAACCACTCCAGTATCTGCCAAGAAAACCCCAAGTGGGGTCATGGAGAGTCAGATGTAACTGAAACAACTCAATAAAAACAAAAGGTCTTATTCAAAGTAAAGAAGATAAAAGGAAGCACAAAACATTGTGCAATATCCAAATGAGGAAAATCAAGAATCATCAGGGCTAACCAAGGTGGACCACATTTAGGTAATGATCAGTAAAAGGAGAAACCAAAATGGCAGTATACTATGGGTCACCTGTATGGGAAGAGGAAATAGGTCAGTGATTCAGGAAACATATCACAAGCCCACCACTGAGGCTTGATATAATAATGATGGGAGATTTTAATTATGCAGACACCTGCTGGAGCTTTCCTTCTTTAAAAGCAAAGATACTTATAATGTCTTCATTTGCCTTAGTGAAAATTTCATCCTCTGAATCTGATTTTCACCAATATGGAAGAACTGGTTGCTACAGTAGAAATGATGGAAATCTTGGAGGGAAGTGACTACTCCCTCCTGGAGTTTATGACAGAAAATGAGAAGAAAGTCAGCCATTGCAATAATATATATCCTGAAATTTTTGGGAAAAGCTTTCAAATGGTTCAGAAGAAAGA